CAGGTTCAAGCAATTCTCCTGCCTCAGCCTCCTGAGTAGCTGGGATTACAGGCACACATCACCATGCCCAGATAATTTTTGTATTTTTAGTAGAGACGGGGTTTCCCCATGTTGGCAGGCTGGCCTTGAACTTCTGACCTCAAGTGATCCACCCATCTCGACCTCCCAAAATGCTGGGATTACAGGCATGAGCCACCGTGCCCGGAAAACCCATTTTCTGAGTGTCTTCAATGTGCCACATGCTGGTTCACAAAGGTGAAAAGCCACAGTCTTGCTCTGAAGGAGTATTAAGTCCAGCAGGGAAGGATGAAGGGAACTTGAAGACAATATAGGCGTCCACTAGACCTAAGCTGTAATGGAGATGGGCCCAAAATGCAGAGACCCAAAAAGGAAACCTGGGTCTACCTGGGACCGTAAAGAAATGCTTCTTGGGCTGGGCTCAGTGGCTCAGGTCTGTAATCCTGAGGGAGGCCGAGGTGGGCAAATTGCTTGCATCCAGGACCAAGCCTGGGCAACATAATGAAACCCCATCTCTACTAAAAATATAATAAATTAGGTACCTGGAGGGGACCGTGTGGGGGTGGAGAGGGTGTGCTGAAGCAGGATGAGTGCTTGAGCCTGGGAGGCTGAGGCTGCAGTGAGCCCTGACCATGCCAGGACTAGGTGACAGAGTAATACTCTGTCTTTAAAAAAAAAAAAAAAGGCAGGCCAGGCCCGGTGGCTCACACCTGTAATCCCAGCACTTTGGGAGGCCGAGGCGGGTGGATCACACGGTCAAGAGATCAAGACCATCCTGGTCAACAAGGTGAAACTCTGTCTCTACTAAAAATACAAAAATTAGCTGGGCATGGTGGCACGTGCCTGTAGTCCCAGCTACTCGGGAAGCTGAGACAAGAGAATTGCTTGAACCCAGGAGGCGGAGGTTGCAGTGAGCCAAGATCGCGCCATTGCACTCCAGCCTGGGTAACAAGAGTGAAACTCCATCTCAGAAAAAAAAAAAAAAAGGCTTCTTGTAGAAGGCAGCAAGAGAGTCAGGGCTTGAAAATGAGTAAGGGCTGAGCGTGGTGGCTCACACCTGTAATCCCAGCACTTGGGGAGCCTGAGGCGGCAGATCATGAGGTCAAGAGATAGAGACCATCCTGGCCAACATGATGAAACCCTGTCTCTACCAAAATACAAAAAATTAAAAAACAAAAAAAAATTAGCCAGGCGTGGTGGCACATGTCTGTGGCCCAGCTATTTGGGAGGCAGAGGTACGGGAATCACTTGAACCTGGGAGGGAGAAATTGTAGTGAGCCGAGATCGTGCCACCGCACTCCAGCCTGGTGGCAGAGTGAGACTCCATCTCAAAAAAAGAAAAATGAGTGGGGTGGAAAGGGATTGGTATGGATTGGTTGTGAGACCAGATAAAGCAGGGAGGCAGATGCCAGAGTACTGCAGGTCCTTGGTTATTTATTTATTTATTTTTTGAGACGGAGTTTCACTCTTGTTACCCCGGCTGGATTGCAATGGCGCAATCTCGGCTCACGGCAATCTCCGCCTCCTGGGTTCAGGCAATTCTCCTGCCTCAACCTCCTGAGTAGCTGGGATTATAGGCACACGCCACCATGCCCAGCTAATTTTTTGTATTTTTAGCAGAGACGGGGTTTCACCACGTTGACCAGGACGATCTCGATCTCTTGACCTCGTGATCCACCCGCCTTGGTCTCCCAAAGTGCTGGGATTACAGGCCTGAGCCACCATGCCCGGCTGGTCCTCCGGGTTTTATATGTCATCCTCCAGTGACTGGGGAAGGATTGAAGAACTTTTCAGTGAAAAATAGGACCCCATTTACATGTTAGAAAGAAAGAACAGGCCAGATGTGGTGGCTCATGCCTGTAATCCCAGCACTTTGAGAGGCCAGGGTGGTCGGATCACTTGGGGTCAGGAGTTCAAGACCAGCCCGGCCAATATGGCGAAACCTTGTCTCTACTAAAAATATAAAAAAGTTAGCCAGGTGTGGTGGCGGGTGCCTGTAATCTCAGCTACTCGGGAGGCTGAGGCAGGAGAATCGCTTGAACCCAGTAGGCAGAGGTTGCAGTGAGCTGAGACTGTGCCACTGGGTTACACTGGTAATCCAGCCTGGGTTACAAGAACAAGACTCAGTCTCAAAAAAATAAAAAATAAGGAAAGAGAAACAAAGGAAGGAAAGATAGAAAGAAGGAGAACTTGGACTGGGGGAACCATGAAGACTCGACAGCAGTAGTCCAGACAAGAGCTGATAAGGCCTGTCATCAGAGTATAAGGCACCTGGAGATGCTGAACTCAGACTGCCTCTTCATCTCAGCTGTACCACCTAGAAGCTATGAGAGCTTGGGCAAGACATTGACCTTAGAACTGTGCCTGGCACACAGAAAGTGCCAGGAAGTATTGGCTGTAATGGGTTAAATGATAGTGCTATCAGAATCTACCTCATTACGCTCTCTTTGCACCCTGTTTCACAGCTAGGAACCTGGTGTCTTCTGGGGTAGGTCCTCCTGCCCAAGGCCCAGCACCTGCTTTTCCCATTTCCTGAAGCCATCCCTTCCTTTTTGGTCTGAGTCTCCATTATCCTCAAACCTGATCATTAAAGAGATAAGCCTGTGGCCAGGCTTGGTGGCTCACACCTGTAATCCCAGCACTTTGGGGGGCCGAGGCGGGTGGATCACGAGGTCAAGAAATTGAGACCATCCTGGTCAACACGGTGAAACCATGTCTCTTCTAAAAATACAAAAAATTAGCTGGGCCTGGTGGCGCGTGCCTGTAATCCCAACTACTCAGGACGCTGAGAGAGGAGAATTGCCTGAACCCAGGAGGTGGAGGTTGCAGTGAGCCGAGATCATGCCATTGCACTCCAGCCTGGGTAACAAGAGGGAAACTCCGTCTCAAAAAAAAAAGAGAGATAAGCCTGCTAACCCCTTTTCTTTTCCTTTTTTTCTTTTCAGACAGTCTCACTCTGTCACACAGAATGGAGTGCAGTGGAGCGATCTTGCCTCACTGCAACCTCCGCCTCCTAGGTTCAAGCAATTCGCCTGCCTCAGTCCCCTGAGTAGCTGGGATTACAGGCATGAGCCACCATGCCCAGCTAATTTATTTCATTTTATTTTTGCGATGAAGTCTCGCTCTTGTCATCCAGGCTGGAGTGCAATGCCACGATCTTGGCTCACTGCAACCTCTGCCTCCTGGTTTCAAGCGATTCTCCTGCCTCAGCCTCTGGAGTAGCTGGGATTACATGCGCCCGCCACCACGCCTGGATAATTTTTTTGTAGTTTTAGTAGAGACAGGGTTTCACCATGTTGGCCAGACTGGTCTTGAACTCCTGACTTCAGGTGATGTGCCCGCGTTGGCCTCCCAAAGTGCTGGGATTACAGGTGTGAGCCACCTCGCCGAGCCTTAATTTTTGTTTTTTGAGATGGAGTGTCACTCTGTTGCCCAGGCCGGAGTGCAGTGGTGTGATTCCAGCTCACTGCAGTCTCCGCCTCCTGCATTCAAACGATTCTCCTGTACCTTAGACTATAGGCACATGCCACCATGCCTGGCTAATTTGTGTGTGTGTGTGTGTGTGTTTAGCAGAGATGGGTTTCACGACATTAGCCAGGCTGGTCTCAAACCCCTGATCTCGTGATCCACCCGCCTCAGCCTCCCAAAGTGCTGGGATTACAGGCATGAGTCGCTGTGCCTGGCCTTTTTTTTTTTGAAATGGAGTGTCACTCTGTCGCCCAGGCTAGTGTGCAGTGGCACAATCTCAGCTTACTGCAACCTCCACTTCCCCGGTTCAAGAAGAGATTCTCCTGCCTCAGTCTCGTGAGTAGTAGCTGGGACTATAGGCAAACGCCACACGCCTGGCTAATTTTTTATATTTTGAATGGAGACAGGGTTTCACCACGTTGACCAGGCTGGTCTCGAACTCCTGAGCTCGGGTGATTTGCCTGCATCGGCCTCCGAAAGTGTTGGGATTACAGGCGTGAGCCACTGTGCCAGGCCTTTGTCTGTGATGGTGAAATTCCGTCTCTACTAAAAATGCCAAAAATTAGCTGGGCATGGTAGCACACGCCTGTAATCCCAGCTACTCAGGAGGATGAGGCAGGAGAATTGCCTGAATCTGGGAGGCGGAGGTTGCAGTGAGCCGAGATCGTGCCACTGCACTCCAGCCTAGGCGACAGAGTGAGACTCCATCTCAAAAAAAAAAAAAAAAAAAAGCTGACCGGGGCGGTGGCTCACAACTGTAATCCCAGCACTTTGGGAACCTGAGGCGGGTGGATCACCAGAGGTCAAGAGTTCGAGACCAGCCTGACCAATATGGCGAAACCCCCTCTCTACTAAAATTACAAAAATTATCTGGGCATGGTGGCGGGCACCTGGGGTCCCAGATGCTTGGGAGGCTGAGGCAAGAGAATTGCTTGAGCCTGGGAAGCGGAGGTTGCAGTGAGCCCAGATCGCGCCACTGCACTCCAGTCTGGGCGACAGGGAGAGACTCGGTTTCAAAAAAAAAAAAAAAAAAAGGGAAGAAAAAGAAAACGGAAAAGAAAGGAGCGGGAGTAGGATTGGGCGTCATGGGCCAAGATTCGCCTTGCTTGTTCTTACCTGAACGTGTGCTGAACAAGCCGACTGGGCCCAAGTAGCCGGGGGACGGCGGAGAGCTCATCCGTTTCCCCTTTAAGACCAGAGCGGAAGACTAGGGGGAGAAGCGCCTTTGTGTCGGCGGGAAAGAAACATACCTGCCCCTTTAAGAAGGCGGAGACGCCGGAGTGGCGGCGGCTTCGAATGCGCCCTGAAGCGCCTGACCCCAGCCTCCCGGCGACTTTCCGACTATATCGCCGAGACGCCTCCCTCTGACGCCACCCCGGGCGTACTGCCCCTCGGAGTCCAAGCTTTCCACCTGGGTCGTTTCCGAGGCCCCGGTGACTCCCCGGACTCAGGGTGTCGGGTCGGGCCAACCTCCCCGCCGAGGCCCACTCGCCGTCGTCATGGTAATGCCGCGCCCAGCCTGGGGGTTACCAGGCCGCCGGGCCACGCGGGCCTCCGGAACTCCTCATGGGGTTCCAGGCCCTCCGCGCAAGCTGCAGGACCCGGGTCCGGGTGGGGGCTCGGCGGAGTCGGGAGACCTGGGCTCTAGTCAGGGCTTGTCGTGGATGACTGCAGCTTCTGCCTCCCGCGTTCAAATGGAGACCCTGCGAAAGCACTCACCTCCCTCGGGCCTCAGTTTCCCTCCCGTAGTCTTCCTGCCCTCCTGGGAAAACCTCCTTTCCCAGTGCACTCAATCGTCACTACCACTTGGGTCCATCCTTTTCCCTTCCCCGCCCCCACGCCTTCCACTTTTTTTTTTTTTTTTGGACGAAGTCTCATTCTGTTGTCCAGGCTGGAGTGCAGCTGTGGCGCGATCTCGGCTCAGTGCAGCCTCCGCCTCCCGTCCACCCCATCCACCCTGACACTTGGAGTCTTGGGGGCTGTATTGCAAGCTGTAGCTCTTGCTGCCGGGGGATCTGGGGTTAGGCGTCACCCCTGCTCTGGGTTTGACACTCGTCTGGAGCTGGCTACAGTAGCCTTGCTGGCTAAAAAGGAGCCGTGGACTGGGGCATCCTACCCTCCTGGGACCCTTTTTTGGGGCTTTAGATTAGGTAGAGAAACTACTGGCTTCATTTGCAGAAGCAATGCCACTATGCCGGAGTGTTTGGATTTATGGTAGTTTCTCTTATGTTTGACATAAGGCTCCTCAGGCGAACCTTTGAGATGTTGCAAAATCCTTAGGCTCAAGCCAGGCGCCGTGGCTGACACCTGTTTTTGTTTGTTTGCTTGTCTGTTTTTTGAGACAGTGTCTCACTCTGTGGCCCAGGCTGGAGTGCAGTGGCGATCTGCGGTCACGGCAATCTCCACCTCCCAGGTTCAAGCAATTCTCCTGCCTCAGACTCACAAGTAGCTGGGATTACAGGCGGGTACCACCACCTCAGCTAATTTTTTTCCTTTTTTTTTCTTCACCTGCCAACCCTCCAATTTTTTTCTATTTTTAGTAGCGATGGGGTTTCACCTTATTGGCCGGGCTGCTCCTGAACTCCTGGCCTCAAGTGGTCCACCTACCTTGGCCTCAAAGCGCTGGGATTACAGGAGTGAGCCACCGAACCCAGCTGACATCTATAATCCCAGCACTTTGGGAGGCCACGGTGAATCACTTGAGCCTGGGAGTTCAAGATGAGCTTGGGCAATGTAAATTTTCTACAAAAATTTAAAAATTAAGCTGGGCCTGATGGTTCACACCTGTAATCCTGGCACTTTGGTAGGCCAAGGCAGGCAGATCACAAGGTCAGTAGTTCAAGATCAGCCTGGCCAACATGGCAAAACCCCATCTCTACTAAAAATACAAAAAAATTAGTCCGGAGTGGTGGTAGGCGCCTGTAATTCCAGCTGCTCAGGAGGCTGAGGCAGGAGAATTGCTTGAACCCAGGAGGTGGAGATTGCAGTGAGCTGAGATTACATCACTGCACTCCAACCTGGGAGACAGAGCAAGACTGTTATGGGGGGAAAAAAATTAGCTGAGCATGATGGCGCACACCTGTAGTCCCAGCTACTCAGGAAGTTGAGGTGGGAGGATCACTTGAGCCTAGGAGGTTGAAGCTGCACTGAGCTATGATCAAGACCCTGTCTCAAAACAAAAGACAAAACCAAAATGTTTAGACCCATGTGCACAGTCCTGGAAAACTGCCCTTGCTCCCCTAGGCGGCCTTCCCTTTGCCCTCTTTCCTCCCTTCCAGGGTTAGTGCAGATGGATCAGAGTGGATTATGTTACAAAAAAGAGTTTTTGGCTGGGCACAGTGGCTCTCGCCCATAATCCCAGCGCTTTGGGAGGCAGAGGTGGGCGGATCACGAGGTCAGAAGTTCCAGACCAGCCTGGCCAATGTAGTGAAACCCTGTCTCTACTAAAACTACAAAAATTAGCTGGATGTAGTGGCATGTGCCTGTAGTCCCAGCTACTCAGGAGGCTGAGATAGGAGAATTGCTTGAACCCGGGAGGCAGAGATGGCAGTGAGCCAAGACTGTGCCACTGTACTCCAGCCTGGGTGATAAGAGCGAAACTCTGTCTCAAAAAATAAAGAGGCAGGTCTCACTGTGTTGCCCAGATTAGCCTCAAACTCCTGGGCTTCAGGGATCAAACCACCTCAGTAGCTGGGATTGTAGGCGTGAGCCAGTACACCTAGCTAAGAAAGCATTTTAGAACACTTAGGTCTTTTTATTACTTTGAGACAGAGTTTCACTCTGTCACCTAGATTGGAGTACAACCACCGCCTCCCAGGTTCAGGCAATTCTCCTGCCTCAGCCTCCCGACTAACTGTAATTATAAGCATGAGCCACCACACCCAGCTAATGCTTGTATTTTTAGTAGAGATGAGGTTTCTCCATGTTGGCCAGGTTGGTCTCGAACTCCTGACCTCCCAACCACCTCGACTTCCCAAAGTGCTGGAAATACAGGCATGAGCTACCACACCCAGCCCTAGATCACTTAAGTCTTTAACAAAGTCCCGTTTCTTCTTATTTCTTATTCCTTTCCCAGCCCTAGCAAAAACAAACAAATATAATATACCTGATGGTATTGTTAGTGCTAGGAAGAAGCAGGGTGTGGGCAGAATGTACTTGGAAACAGTATTTCTCCTCAGCCCCAATTGGTTTGTTTTCTTTTCAGGCGTGCAGTTTGCAGAAGCTGTTTGCTGTGGAAGAGGAGTTTGAAGATGAGGTAGGGAAGTGCTCGTGATCAGAGGTGGTCTTAATATGTAAACACTCGGTAGCCTGCACCAGCCTCCTTTTAGTTGACAGGTATATGTTTTTGTCTGTGAGAGGCTGAGAAGTGATGAGAAATGTAAACAACCTACTTAACTGTCTTAGAAACAAAAAACCAGAGAGATGAGTTGCCTAATTGTCATACCTTGAATTATAAGGGCTCTTTCCTGGCAGCTGTGTCATCTAGCTGATTTAATTCACCTCTGTGATAACATACTTGTGGTGGGAAAGGCAGTGTATGTAGAGCCAGAACCACGTAAGAGACAGCATAGTTACTGGATGGCAGGAGGCCAGGGGTCAGCAATTGGCTGTGTAAATCAGGGCAGGTCACTTTATTCTCTGGTCTTCTGTTTTCTCTTTTACAATATGAGGGACGTTCTTCGGCCTTAGATGTTCTTCCCTTCCCTCTGTCTAATCACAAGATGTGGAGTGAGACTAGATCCAAACTCAAACATTAAAATTACCCTTGTCTAGGCCCTACTACACACCAATTAAATCAATTTCTGGGAATGGGTCAGCCAGGGATATTTCTTTTTTTTCTTTCTTCAACTTTTATTTGAAGTTCAGGGGTACATGTGCAGGTTTGTTACATAGGTAAACATGTGCCATGGTCATCTGCTGCACAGATCATCCCATCACCCAGGTATTAAGCGCAGCATGCATTAGCTATTCCTCCTCATGCTCTCTACTCCCCTGCCCCTGACAGCCCCCAGTGTGTGAACTTCTTTGTTTTTTTGGAGACAGGGTCTCTCTCTCTCACCCAGGCTGGAGTGCAGTGGCATAATCACAGCTTGATCTCCCAGGTATAAGTCTCCCAGGTGTAAGTCATCCTCCTACCTCAGCCTCCTCAGTAGCTTGGACCACAGATGTGTGCCACCATGCCCAGCTAATTTTTAAATATTTTTTTGTATTTCTTTTTTTTTTTTTTTTTTGCGACCAAGTCTCACTCTGTCGCCCAGGCTGGAGTGCAGTGGCATGATCTTTGTTCACTTCGACCTCCGCCACCCAGCTTCAGGCAATTCTCCTGCCTCAGCCTCCTGAGTAGCTGGGATTACAGGTGTGTGCTACCATGCCCAGCTCATTTTTTTTGTATTTGTAGTAGAGACGAGGTTTCACCCTGTTGGTCAGGCTGGTCTTGAACTCCTGACCTTGTGATCCACCCGCCTCAGCCTCCCAAAGTGCTGAGATTACAGGCGTGAGCCACTACGCCCGGCTAATTTTTAATTTTTTTGTAGAGACAGAGTCTTACTTAGTTGCTCAAGCTGGTCTTGAACACCTGGGCTCAAGTGATCCTTCTGCCTTGGCCTCCCAAAGTGCTGGGATTACAGGTGTGAGCCAGCGGCTCCGTCCTGATTTTCGTTTTTATGAGTAATTTACAACTGCCAGTTTTGTCAAGGAGTTGTTTCCTTGTCTTTGTCTTTCAGCGTTGGAGATGTGTGATTACAAGCTGAAAAAGTGACTGTTAAAATGACCCTCTTGGGTCTTACCAGGTGATGGCGGGACTGCTAGGCAAGTAACAGAATTAGAGTAAAGGACTCTGACAGCTGAAGTTTCTGTTCCCTGACAGTGGCAGATCAGTCCCTTCCCCCTTCCTAAGGCAGATGACGTCATGTCTGAGAGTGAGCTCTTTGGGTGAAGAGAGATCCATCAACCTCTAGAGTCATCAGGATTTTATTACTGCTAGAGTTTTGGTCATTATTATGATTGTTGAGTCCTATGGTGGTCCTGCCTGAGTATGGGTCTCACTCAATAATACACAAAGCAGGAAAAAGCCTTTTTCTAGCCCAGACAATCCAGTGCGGCAGCAGAGGGTGGGGATGGTGGGGACCCTCCTGTCAGTTAAATCAGCAGTTCTGACTCAAAACCACCCTCAGAACAGGTCTGTTGCTCTTGAAGTTGTCAGTCTCACCTTGCTTCCCAACTGGAATTCATACTTAATTTAACTTGCCTGAAAAGCTATATTTAACTTCTGCCTTTTTTGCTGGCTTCAAGGCCTCTCTGGCTTACTGAAGGGTAGCTCTCTCTGTGGGTGTGGGTGTCTGTACGTGTGAGAGAGAGAGAGAGAGAGAGAGAGAGAAAGAGAAAGAGCACAGGAGTGTCTCCTGGGGATGAGGAGTGAGCCTAAGGACAGGCAGCATGACCAGCTGGATAGATCCCTGTTTAGATAACAGGCCAGACACCAGAAAGTGGTCCCCTTGAGATGGCTTTTGTGTGACCTAGAGTGATTTGACTTCTTGTTGCTCTGTAACATTTGCTTCTCCTGCTGTCCTAACTGCCCCTCTCTTCACCCATGAAGGCTAAAAAAGAGAAGCTACCTGAAGACTTAGCCTTAGATTTGAGTGTTTTTGATAGAGCCTTGTGGTAGGCCCATGGATCAGGTCAGAGGTGGTAAGAGACCTTTCATGCCTCTTTTTTTTTTTTGCATTTAGGTTTTGGTCATGCCTTTTTTTGAGACAGAGTTTTGATCTTGTTGCCCAGGCTGGAGTGCAATGGTATAATCTCGGCTCACTGCAACCTCCACTTGCTGAGTTCAAGCGATTCTCCTGCCTCAGCCTCCGAAGTAGCTGGGGGCTACAAGCATGCGCCACCACGCCCAGCTAATTTTGTATTTTTAGTAGAGGTGGGGTTTCTCCATGTTAGTCAGGTTGGTTTTGAACTGGTGACCTGAGGTGATCGGCCTGCCTTGGCCTTCCTAAGTGCTGGGATTACAGGTGTGAGCCGTTGCACCCAGCCTTTTTTTTTTTTTGAGACTGAGACTCTGTCACCCAGGCTGGAGTGCAGTGGCATGATCTAGGCTCACTGCAACCTCTGCCTTTCAGGTTTAAGTGATTCTCCTGCCTCAGCCTCCCAAGTAGCTGGAATTATAGGTATGTGCCCCCACGCCTGGCTAATTTTTGTATTTTTAGTAGAGACAAGGTTTCACCATGTTGGCCAGGCTGGTCTTGAACTCCTGACCTCAAGTGATCCTCCTACCTTGGCCTCCCAAAGTGCTGGGATTACAGGCATTAGCCACCATGCCCAGCCCTCATGCTTGGTTTCTTGTTTGCAAACATCTACACACAAACATACATGCCACTGCTTTGAACAGTCAAAGCAGAGGGGCTCTTGATTTCCAGATGCCAAGACTTGCCATCTCTGCTTCCTTGTAGGATTTCTTGTCTGCTGTGGAGGATGCAGAGAACCGGTTTGCTGGCTCGCTGCCTGTGAATGCTGTGCACCTGAGACCTATATGTTCTAGGCTACAGGAGACTGTGCAGGCACAGTCCTCCAGGCTGCTGCCGTTACACCCCACTGCTCCCTCAGAGGCTTTGGGCCTGCCAACCCCGGAACTCTGCCTCCCTCCCTCCAGCATGCCCAGTGCTGACAGCCGTCCATCATGCGCAGGAACAGCTCACCTAAGGCCCGTCTCTACTTCCAGCAGCTGGATTGGCAATCAGAGAAGAGTGACAGAAGTGCCCAGAGAGCCAGCAAGACCCCAGTCCTCAGTCCCACACCCCCTACTCACCTTTGGGAGCCAACAGCAGCAAGTTGGTGGCTTTGAGGGGCCTGAACAAGACGAATTTGATAAGGTCCTGGCAAGCATGGAGTTGGAGGAGCCTGGCATGGAGCTGGAACGTGGAGTCAGCAGTGAGGCCACATCAATTCTGCCTGCCGAGCAGCGGGAAGGTTCCGTATTGGCTAAAAAGGCCCGGGTAGTTGATCTGAGTGGATCATGCCAGAAGGGGCCAGGGCCTGCCACCCACAAAGCTGGTATCATGTCAGCTCAGGATAAGCCTCTAGATCCTGTCCTCGACTGTAGGACTCCACAGTCCCCCTTGAGACCTGGTGCTGCGAGTCACCTTCCTGTCCCAACTGCCTTAACAGTTCCCACTCAGCAAGCCCACTGGGAAGTGTGTCCACGAGGCCCCCCTGTTCAAGCACTCCAGCCTCTCCAAGCTGCTAGAGGGACCATTCAGAGCAGCCCTCAAAATCGTTTCCCTCGTCAGCCATTTCAGTCTCCATGTTCCTGGTTAAGTGGCAAAGCTCGTGTACCCAGACCTCTAACTCCCAACTCAAGCTGTTCTACTCCCTCAAGGACTAGCTCTGGATTATTTCCTTGGGTATCCTTACAACCCCGAGCTCCAGTGTCTTCCATTGAGTCTCCTGTTGGCACCCCAAAAGGTCCCCATTTCTCCCTGGGTCCACAGGGAGCTCTGCAGACACCCGTAGTCACCAACCACCTGGTACAGCTGGTCACTGCTGCCAGCCGGACACCCCTGCAGCCCACGCACCTCTCTACCCGAGCCAAAACTCGCCGTTTCCCCGGCCCAGCTGGTCTCCTGCCTCACCAGGTGAGTGGGTATCCTGCCTCACCAGGTGAGTGAGCTGGCTTTCCAGGATTTGCGGGGGCAAGGAAGAGAAGCAGGGTTCCAGCACTGTTCAGCCCTAGAATATCTTCCCTCCTGCAGGGAGGGAAGGAAGGAAGGAAGTGCAGAGAGGCTTTTCAGAGCTGTAGAAGAAATAGAAGGGAAGAACTGAATGCTAGGAAATCCACTGTGGGCTGGGCGTGATGGCTCACACCTTTGGGAGGCCAAGGCAGGTGGATCACCTGAGGTCAGGAGTTTGAGACCAGCCTGACCAACATGGAGAAAGCCCATCGCTACTAAAAACACAAAATTACCTGGGTGTGGCGGCACATGCCTGTAATCCCAGCTACTCAGGAGGCTGAGGCAGGAGAATTGCTTAAACCCGGGAGGCCGAGGTTGCGGTGATTGTGCCACTGCCCTCCAGCCTGGGCAACAAGAGCAAAACTCCATCTCAAAAAAGGAAAATCCACCATGAAAGACGTACTTAAGGCTCTGAGGACTTCATAACTTTCTTTTTTCTTTTCCTTTTTTTTTTTTTTTTTTTTTTTTGAGGTGGAGTCTTGCTGTGATGCCCAGGCTGGAGTGCAGTGATGTGATCTCAGCTCACTGCAACCTCCGCTTCCCGGGTTCAAGCGATTATCCTGCCTCAGCCTCCCAAGTAGCTGAGACTACAGGCCCCCACCACCACACCTGGGTAATTTTTGTATTTTTTGTAGAGACAGAGTTTCACCATATTGGCCAGGCTGGTCTTGAACTGACCTCAAGTGATCCACCCACTTCAGCCTCCCAAAGTGCCGGGATTACAGGCGTGAGCCACCACACCCGACACTCTTTTCCTTTTTTTTTTGAGTGGCACAATCTTGGCTCACTGCAACCTACCTCCCAGGTTCAAGCAATCCTCTTGTCTCAGCCTGCCCAGTAGCTGGAAGTATAGGCACGCACTACCATGCCTGGCTAATTTTTTGTATTTTAAGTAGAGACAGGGTTTCACCATGTTGGCCAGGCTGGTCTCAAACTCTTGACCTTGTGATCTGCCTGCCTTGGTCTCCCAAAGTGCTGGGATTACAGGTGTGAGCCACTATACCCAGCTCTTTCACTTTTTTTTTTTTTTAAGAATTAAAGACTGTTTGTGTTGCTCAGGCTGGTCTTGAACTCCTGGGCTCAAGCAATTCTCCTGCCTCAGCCTCCCATATAGCTCCCATATAGAGGTGTGCACCACCTTGCCCAGCCAGGACTTCATACTTTTCATATGTTGGCTGAGTGCCTACTGTTTGCTAACACTGCGGCAGGAAGTCATTCATACGCATTTGCTAAGGACTTGTTATGTGTTGGATAATTTGCCTGGAACTGAGAATACAGAGATTAAAAGAGAAATGTTTCCTGTCCTAAGGTGCTTACCGTGAAATGGAGGAAACATGCAAACAAACATGCACAAAGCACTCAGTGTGAATGGGGGCCATTTCCTGGGTGCTAGGGAGACACTGGCTCTGCCTTAGGCTTGCTGAGTGGGCTTTGAATGGGTGAATAGGAGGTTAATAGGTGTGTGGCAGAGTAGGAGCTGTGCTCTGTGGATGTTCCTACAGTGGGAAGGCAGGGAAGAGCATGTGTAAAGGCACAGAGGCAGAAGAGCAAGGTGCTCTCAGATTCACAGAAAGGTTCATTGTGGCAGGTGTGAGGAAGCTGGGGCTGAAAAGGAGACAGCCCTGCTGAGATTTGGATTACACTAGTCTTGGATCAGATCCCAGATCTTGGACTCTGAGGATCTGGACTGGTTGTAATAGGTGTGCCTTCTTCCTCCCATTTTAAGGGTGTTTGAAACAATTCCTGCCTATTACTTGCTCTTCCCTAGCATGTTAGCAGACATCCAAAGAGGCTGTCTGTGTTTCTACTGGGCTGGATCTCCCTGGAGGGAAGGGTTAGGACTTGGGGAAAGTTGCCCCTTTGCTCATCACGGGCCCTTTTTTTTTTTTTTTTTGAGACAGTCCTGCTCTGTTGCCTAGGCTGGAGTGCAGTGGCACAATCTCAGTTTACTGCAGCTCTGCCTCCCAGGTTCAAGTGATTCTCCTGCCTCAGCCTCCCGAGTACCTGGGATTACAGTCCCAATCCACCTCGTCTGGCTGATTTTTGTATTTTTGGTAGAGACAGAGTTTCTCCATGTTGGCCAGGTTGGTCTTGAACTCCTGACCTAAGGTGATCACTTTCCTCAGCCTCCCAAAGTGCTGGGATTACAGGTGTGAGCCACCGCGCCTGGCCAGGCCTCTCTGTTTGTGTCACTGCCCCCTTCAGGGAGCCCTGGCTTTTGCACCTGGGCCAGCTCCAGCTTCCTCACATTTCCAAACCAATCCCCAAAGTATCTTTTTTGAGCTGCCAAAGAGGCTCCTGAGACTTTTGTTAGGAGAGATGTAATATGTGTTAATTGTGCTTAATCGTTTCCTGAACTCATTATGTAATCCAGACAAGAAGCTGTACCTGTAAATAACAGCTGCTGAGCTTGCTCTCACCTTCTCCTTCTCTCCTCTCTTAGCAGAGTGGGAGAAGTCTGGAGGACATCATGGTTTCCACGCCTCAGACTCCTACCCATGGTGCTCTGGCTAAATTCCAGACAGAGGTAACTTATTCTTTGTAAGTGTTAACTTTCTGGGTGTGATTTGAGAGTGAGGGACGTCTCTCCATGTTTCAGGAGTTGAGAATCAAGAGTTGATACGGCTAGGCCTGTTTGCTGGTGTCACACACCAAAGGACATTTGAGGCAGGTAGTTGGAGGCAGCAATTTTACTGGCATTAATCGAGGACTGTCCTGGTGCCAGGCAGGTATTATCTGATGCCATGGGTCCAGCCTTCTTTCCCATCTAAGAAATAAAGGCCCAGCTAGCTCCATCTTCCCCCAGGGGAGGAGACTGGTAAGTATTATGAGATTGTGTCCCAGGAGCCCTTATTATCAGGTTTCTGAGACCTGAGCTGGGAAGGATCTGCCTTCTCTTGCCTCTGCTGGGTTTCCTTTGGTGGGTGAGACCTAGCCTCCCTCCTTCTTGGGGTTCTGGTTGACCTGCTCTGCCCTCAAACCCAGTTTTGCTTTTAATTCTCCCCAGTATTTTTTCTCTTTGCTGTATGTAGCTCCCCAGATCCGCCAGTCCATTTCAAATCCAAAGCAGCAAATACTCTGAATCTAAAGCATGTATTAATGTAAGAAGGTTAATTGTTAAAGCTAGAAGCATCCCAAATAAAATATGACTGGTTTCCAAATGAGTAAGACACTCTGGAAGCCTGTAAATTTATGTGGTGGATTCCTACCCCTAATATTTTTTGAGTCTGTTACAAAAAATAAGCATGGATAGCCTTTTGCTTCAATGTAGTTAAAGTTAAGAGCTGATTTTATCTTATTTATTTTTTTGAGATGGGGTCTTGCTCTGTCGTCCAGGCTGAGTGTAGTGGGTGATCCCAGCTTGTTGCAAACTCCGCCTACTGAGTTCAAGTGATACTCCTGTCTCAGCCTCCCGAGTAGCTGGGATTACAGGCACACGACACCACACCCAGCTAATTTTTGTATTTTTAGTAGGAACGGGGTTTCGCCATGTTGGCCAGGCTGGTCTCAAACTCCTGGCCTCAGGTGATCCACTCGCCTTGGCCTCCCAAAGTGCTGGGTTACAGGCATGAGCCACATTGCCTGGCTGAGGAGCTGATTTTATTTTAAAAATTTTTTTCTACTTAGTCCTGCAGACAGGACCTGATTTTAAAAAGAAAAAATAGAGTACCTGCTGAATGAAAGCTGTGATATGCAACAAGATTTTCACGTTTCAATTGCCAAAGGAATCAGAAAAAAAGAAAAAGGAAAAAAAAAGATTTCACGTTGCCATTTTCTGATCTAGGAGATAAATGAAAGGAGAGACTGTGGCCATTGTACTACAGTTTTTCCAAGGGCATTTGCCCTTCCTCTGTCACCCTTCCACCCAGTCTCAATCAATAGTCTGTAGCAAGGTAGATGTATTCATACAAGCTCCCCCTCTGCTCTGTGGTACCAGATTGTTGCAAGTTCCCAGGCATCCGTGGAGGAGGATTTTGGGCAAGGGCCCTGGCTGACCATGAAATCTGTGCTAGGCCTGGATGAGAGAGACCCTAGCTGCTTCCTCTGTACCTACAGCATCGTCATGGTGCTGCGGAAGGTAAGGATTCTGGGTACTGAGACCCAAAGGGAAGACCATTGTTCTCCCTCTCTCTGACCCACTGCCCAATTTCACCTTAGGAAGGGGCTGTTTGCTCCCAGGCCTATACGAGCAGCAGCACGAAGCCCCTTTGATTGTATCTTCCAGTCACCTACCTTTTCACTGTCATCCATGGGATTGGGCCTAGCTGGAAGGAGAGAGTGGGTGCCTCTGCACTTCGAGGCCCTGGATGGGGTGGGGTGAGCACACTGCGACCCTCAAAGCTCCCCAGTGGCCAAGGGTTGTGTGCAGAGGCATGCCAGTACATGTGCCAACATATCCCTCCCTGTGGCTTGCTATGATGGAACACTGTGTAAACACATAAACAAAAAGTGCTAGATGCAGTGGTTTATACCTGTAATCGCACTTTGTTAGGCTGAGGTGGAAGGATCATTCAAGGTCAGGAATTCAAGACCAGCCTGGACAACAAAGTGAGACCCTGTCTCTACAAAAAAAAATAAATAAATAACTGAATGTGGTGGCATATGCCTTACAGTCCCAGCTACTAGGGAAGCTGAGGCAGGAGGATCACTTGATCTTAGGTGGAGGCTACCATGAACCATGATGGCACCACTGCACCCAGCCTGGGCAATAGAACGAGACCTTGTCTCATTTAAAAAAACTCGAACAGGCCAGGTGCGGTGGCTCATGCCTGTAATTCTAACATTTTGGGAGGCTGAGGTGGGTAGATCACTTGAGGTCAGGAGTTCAAGACCAGCCTGGCCAACATGGTGAAACCCCATTTCCACTACTGAAAATATAAAAATTAGCTGGGCTTGGTGATGCACCCCTGTAATTCCAGCTACTCTGGAGGCTGAGGCTTGAGAATCGCTTGAACCTGGGAGGTGCAGGTTTCAGTGATCTGAGATCATGCCACTGTACTCCGGCCTGGGCTACAGAGCGATACTGTGTCCCAAAAATAAAACAGACTGGGCACAGTGGCTCACGCCTGTAATCCCAGCAGTTTGGGAGGTTGAGGCGAGTGGATCATGAGGTCAGGAGTTCGGACCAGCCTGGCCAACATGGTGAAACCCTGTCTCCACTAAAAATACAAAAATTAGCCAGGGATGGTGGTGGCTGCCTGTAATCCCAGCTACTCAGGAGGCTGAGATGGGTGGATCACTTGAAACCAGAAGGCAGAGGTTGCAGTGAGCTGAGATTGCACTATTGCACTCTAGCATGGGTAAAGAGTGGGACTCCATCTCAAAAATAAAATAAAAATAAGTAAAATAAATAAAAATTAAAAAACCCAAACAAAAAAGAAAGGAAGCAGGGGAGAGAAATGAAGGACCTGCCAAATCTAGGTCTGCCAGAGAGAGATGGGATACCCTTTGTTCTCCACAAGGAAGATCATCACTATAACTATACTCTGCCCCCTTCTACCTCCAGTTGCCCTGGCACACTTGGAGATCTGGGAAGTCACAGGTGGGCCATGGAAGGCTCAGCATATGCCTCTCCTTATAAGCAGGCAGCCCTGAAGCAGCTTCCTAGAAACAAGGTCCCCAACATGGCGGTGATGATCAAGTCCCTGACTCGGAGCACAATGGATGCCAGTGTGGTTTTCAAGGACCCCACGGGTAAGGAATTAAGATCCTCAGGTGTCTGATGAGTGGGCTCCATTGAGGCCAGGAGATGAGGAGGAATCATCCTCCCCATTTGCAGACAGGAAAACTGAGGCAGCAAGCAACCCACTTCCCAGCCAGGCCCCAAACTAGTCCCTGTGCTGCCCTTGACTCCGAGACTGATGGGCGGTGTGGTATTTGCAGGAGAGATGCAGGGGACAGTGCACAGGTTCCTGCTGGAGACGCACCAGAATGAGCTGAAGCCTGGTTCAGTGCTGCTGCTGAAGGAGGTATGGGGAGCAGCTCTCCACACCACTGCCCCCTGGAGAGACCCCCTTGCCCCCGCCATGTCTGTCTCTTTGTATATCTGGCTACCTTCCTCTACAACACCAGGCATGGAGTGGCTGAACCATTGCTAGGCCCTGGCTTGAGGAGCTGAGGGAAGGTTTGTGGCCCTTGAGCTGGCCCCCATTCGTCAGGGTGGATGCGGATGGAGGATTGTGTTGGGGGAGAGTGTGGCAAATGGTTCTCCTCTGGCACCAAGGTTAGGCAGAGGACACCAAGTGAAAGGCAGGTGGCCATCTGACACCTCTGAATGCTCCATTAGGACATTGACCTTCCCCTTCCCTGACTTCAGATTGGAGTGTTTTCTCCTTCACTTCGAAATCACTACCTCAACGTGACACCCAACAACCTGGTCCATATTTACAGCCCGGATTCTGGGGATGGGAGCTTCTCCAAGGTAAGAGGAGCAGGATGGAATAGAGGAATGGTAAGGCCTTCCTTCTGCTTGGATCTTCTGATTTCTTCCTTTCTTCCACCCTGTGGAGCAGAGGTCTAAACGGGGACAGGTTCTCTGAGGTGAAAAAGTATCTTTGGGGACAGGACCATCTTCTCCTATCCCTCATCCAGCCGCCTGCCAGATGGCTCAGTAACAGTACCTAGAGGAGCAGCTGGCTTTTTGGTGATCCCTGAGTGTCTGATGGCAGGCTTGAACATCTGAGAGGATAGGAGTCACTTGAGAACTAACCAAGTGGAGGGCCTACCAGGGGGTGGTGGCAGTAAATGACCAAGGGTCAGATCTGCCACAAGTGGCAATTCAGAGAACAGTAAGCTACAAATGGCCTGTCAAGTGAGCCAGCACCTGCTCTGTATCTTCCCTCCTGGCCTCTTCTTCTGCTAAATGAGGGGGAAGCTGCACAGAACACTGGTGGGGACATCCTCTTTAGGAACTGAGACAAGCATCGGGCATTTTTGGGAGGTGAGCATGGGCTTACAGGCAGATCCACTCCATGGTGAGAGTGCAGAGCCTGGGCTTGATATGCCCTGCCCCCACCACCATCCCAGGATCCTGGCCTGGGGTCAGGAGACCTGGGGCTTGTGTACTGAAAACGTGTACTCTGACCTTGGGCAAGTCCTGTCTCCTCCTTTGCTGTTGCTTCATCTGTAGTACGTTTGACTTGATGACCTCTAATCATCTTAGACAGAGGTTTTAGTCTAAGCTCCAACTTTCCACTTCCATTTTCCTCATCTTTCCCCTTAGCTCCTCCACCCCACTTCCAAAAAATACCCTTTCTTTTACTTTTTTTTTTTTTCAAGACAGTTTTGCTCTGTCGCCCAGGCTGGAGTGTGGTGGCGTGACCTTGGCTTCCTGCAACCTCTGCCTCCCAGATTCAAGTGATTCTCCCACCTCAGTCTCCTGAACAGCTGGTACTATGGACATGTGCCACCATGCCCAGCTAATTTTTTTGTTTGTTTTTTGAGATGGAGTCTTGCTCTGTTGCCAGGCTGGAGTGCAGTGGTACAATCTCGGCTCACTGCAACCTCTGCCTCCTGGATTCATGTGATTCTCCTGCCTCAGCCTCCTGAGTAGCTGGGATTACAGGTGCCCGACACCATGCCCAGATAATTTTTTTATTTTTAGTAGAGACATGGTTTCACCATGTTGGCCAGGCTGGTCTCAATCTCCAGACCTCATGATTCACCTGCCTTGGTCTCCCAAAGTGCTGGGATTACAGGCGTGAGTCACTGCGTCTGGCCCTTTTTTTGTATTTTTTAGTAGAGATGGAGTTTTGACATACTGGTTAGGCTGGTCCCGAACTCCTCACCTCAGAGGTAATTGGCTTATCTTGGCCTCCCAAAGTGTTGGGATTACAGGCGTGAGCCATTGTGCCCAGCCTACCTTTCTTTGAAATAAACCGAAATAGCACAGAATAAGCAAAAGATAGATCCCACCCTTCCCACTCCTATTTCCTAGGGCTAACCCTAGTTAACCATTTAATTACCAGTTTTTACTTATTTGTTTATTTTTTTGAGATGGAGTCTCACTCCGTCACCCAGGCTGGAGCGCAGTGCCATGTTCTCGGTTCACTGCAACCTCTACCTCCCGGGTTCAAGCAATTCTTCTGCCTCAGCCTTCCAAATAGCTGGGATTACAGATGCCTGCCACCACACCTAGCTAGTTTTTGGGTTTTTGTAGAGATGGGATTTCACTATGTTGGCCAGGCTGGTCTCAAACTCCTGACCTCAAGCGATCTTGCCGCCTTGGCCTCACAAAGTGCTGGGATTATAGGTATGAGCCACTGCGCCTGGCCTAAATTACCAGTTTTAATTACCTGCCCATATATTAGCTATATATTCCTTTGGGGATTGTTAACAGCTAATTTTAAATCCCAGGCTAACTCCTCAATGTATTTCTGAATGGCCTTTTCACTCTCTGCTGTAGTTATATAGAATCCCTAAAACAAGGCTGGGTGCGGTGGCTCATGCCTGTAATCCCAGCACTTTGGGAGGCCGAGACGGATGGATCACAAGGTCAAGAGATCGAGACCATCCTGGTCGACATGGTGAAACCCCGTCTCTACTAAAAATACAAAAAATTAGCTGGGCATGGTGGTGCGTGCCTGTAATCCCAGCTACTCAGGAGGCAGAGGCAGGAGAATTGCCTGAACCCAGGAGGCGGAGGTTGCGGTGAGCAGAGATTGTGCCATTGCACTCCAGCCTGGGTAACAAGAGGGAAACTCCATCTCAAAAAAAAAAAAGAGAATCCCTAAAACATTAGATACCAACAGAACTAGGAAAGAAAATCAGCCAAAAAAGGTTTGTTTTTTTGTTTTGTTTTATTAAATTATCTGCTGCTTTAGGTGTTTTGGTGTTTTGGCTCCCTCCCTTCAGCATGGGCCTCGGTGACTGGCCCCTGCCATACTCCTCCATCTTGTTTCTTTCCTGAGCCACCACCTGTTCCTTTGTTGTCTGGGTTGAGATGGTACCATCTGAAGGGATTTCAGGGGCATAGGCATTGGTAACCAGATCCTCTGTCCCCAGGATTCAGGCGGCTTCCAGCATGATGTGGCTGCAAAGCCTGAGGAAGGCTTTAGAACAACAGCTCAAAACCTAGAAGCAGGTGTGTCCCCTGAGGAAAAACTCCCAGAAGCAGGTAAGGCAGTCAGCCCATCTGGGAGCAAGAGAGGTTCTCCTATTGCCTGTTGAATAGCTGAACCAGAATTCTCCTGGCTACATCTTTGGATCTTTTATAATCTTACAGAAATCAAATACAGTGTCTTGTTTGGCAAGGCTGCAGGCCACAAACTCGTTAACAGTGTGATGGGGCGGAGCCTCATGAAACAAAGTGTCATCCACAGGTTTCCCCCATTTCCAGGTTATGTACATCAACCACAAGGAGGAAACATCACTATCCTCTGTCCATCTGCTGTCTTTGTGCTATACTCTTGAGTCCTCTGTGGGCTGATGACTGGACCACAGAGGCAGATTTCCCATCCTGACAAAGCTAAGAGGAGTGCTGAGGAGTTTGTGGGAGTACATGGTTTGTGGGAGAACCAGGCTAAACCAGTGAGGCCCAAATGCAGACCCCTTGTGGTCAGGCCAGCTGCTTCCTCAGGAGGCAGCATTACCCAGGTGAAACTAACACCATTCAGGATCTAGTCCTTAGCTTTTTTAATTTTAATTTTAATTTTTGAGACAGGGTCTCATTCTGTTGCCCAGGCTGGAGTGCAGTGTCATGAACATGGCTCACTGCAGCCTCGGCCTCCCAGGTAGGCTCAAGCAGTCCTCCCACCTCAGCCTCCCAAGTAGCTGGTACTACAGGCATGTGCCACCATGCCCAGCAACTTGTAAAAATTTTTGCAGAGATGGAGTCTTGCCATGTTGCCCAGGCTAGTCTTGAACTGCTAGCGCTCAAGTGATCCTTCTGTCTCTGCCTCCCAAAGTACTGGGATGGCAGGCATGACCTACCACGCTCAGCCTGATCTTTAGCTTTTCAATTCCAAAAATTCAATCCTGTCTGGCTCCAGAGTTCATGGGATTATGGATAGGTGTTCTCACACTAAACCTAATTCACAGTGTACCCAATGGATAAACCATAAAGGCCATTCTATCTTGTGAAAAAGCATACATCCCTCATGCTGGAATCTTGCATTGCCTGGAAGCCTGCACTCTTTCTTTGTGAGACAAGTCGAGGCATCACCAGGTTGCTGGTAGTCACAGAGAGTTAACTATAGAATATTAGGGCTGGTGTCATATCTTCAGTATAGGGACAGACCTGCAAGCAGGCAGCTGCTAATGGTGGCTGGATAGTGCTGGAGAGAAATACTGATTTTTTTTTTTTTTTGAGATGGAGTCTTGCTCTATCACCCAGGCTGGAGTGCAATGGCATGATCTTGGCTCACTGCAACCTCTGCCTCCTAGTTTCAAGGGATTCTCCTGCCTCAGCCTCCTGAGTTGCTGGGATTACAGGTGCCCTGCCACCACACCTGGCTAATTTTTGTATTTTTAGTAGAGCGGGGGTTTCACCATGTTGGCCAGGCTGGTCTTGATCTCCTGACCTTATGATCTGCCCACCTCAACCTCCCAAAGTGCTGTGATTACAGGCGTGAGCCACTGTGTCCTGCCCAAATACTGATTGATTCTTTTTTTTTTTTTTTTTGAGATGGAGTTTCGCTCTTGTTACCCAGGCTGGAGTGCAATGGCGCGATCTCGGCTCACCGCAACCTCCGCCTCCTGGGTTCAGGCAATTCTCCTGCCTCTGCCTCCTGAGTAGCTGGGATTACAGGCACGCGCCACCATGCCCAGCTAATTTTTTGTATTTTTAGTAGAGACGGGGTTTCACCATGTCGACCAGGATGGTCTCGATCTCTTGACCTCATGATCCACTCGCCTTGGCCTCCCAAAGTGCTGGGATTACAGGCATGAGCCACCGTGCCCGGCCAATACTGATTGATTCTTATCCTGATTCCTAGTTTCCTAGGCCCATGCCAATTGCCATTCCCCTTCATTTCATATCATGTTTCTCTAGACAGTCACAGAATAGCTAATGCAGGGCAACCTTTTTTGTTATAAGCAAATTCCAGTCCTACCTCCCTGGGTACAGTGCCAGTCACCATAATGGAATCGTGAATGCTCCCCAAACTTTTACTGAGTGCTCTTGCCATATGCAGAGCTAGTCTCTTGGGTGTAGCTTACAGACAGTCTTACTCCCAGAGTTTCCTGATCCCATCCAGTAGGCAGGAGTTTTCTAGTTGGCAGCAGTGGTTCTGGTGTCAGATGGAGCCTCAGTGTGCTCACCTTGGGCAAGGTGTTTTACCTCCTGAAACCCTGTTCTCTCAGGTAAAGTGGGTGATAACAGAGCTACCCGCAGATGTCCTATCTATGGATGGTTATTGAGGCACAGAGCAAGCACTCAGTCAGTATTAGCTGCTGTTAGTAAATAATGTTGCTAGGGATTATCAAGGTCAGCTCTGTCCAAGTTCTGAGACATAAGTACCACATATAAGAACTGTAGTTTTACACAGGCACTTTGAGGAAGGGGTGATGTTTTCCAATGTCAGATGAGAAGCCAACTAAGGAACTGTGTAACTCTAAACACATCTAATGGCTTTTCCCAGCCCTCTTTCTCCCTCAGCCAATGAGAGTGTAGCACTAGGTGACCTCTGAAGCCTTCCTGTTTGGCACTGTGACTGGATGGAAGGAGAGGAGCAGCCAGTGAGGCCCAGGGGATTACACCCCTGCCTTCTGTCATGTATGGGTACAAGGGGAGCAGAGGGAAGGTGGAAGTCAGGCCACCCTCAGGCTCAATGGCATGGGTACCATTGCCTGGAGGAGCCGCCTGCCCAGCTAGACAACCAGGCCCAGGCCCTCCTGAAGGGAAGAAATTTTGGACCTGAGTCACACAGAATCCTGATGTTGTCTCTAAGGCTACCCATCATTACCCTCTCTGTAGATGACCTTGATGGACTCCTGAGTGAGCTCCCTGAGGACTTCTTCTGTGAGACCAGTGGTTGAGACTGCCCCAACGCAGGACACCCACCGTGAGCAGGCAGCTCTGGGTGTGTCACATCCAAGGGGGAGAAGGCGACCAGCACGACTGGAGAGTGGATACAGCAGGGGACTTCTGTGGTTGCTTCCACCCTGGGTGTTTTCTCTGAGGATTCTCATGTTCTGCGCTGCCCTCACCTTGGGCCTTCCTTCGCCATTGGCACCAGAACCCAGCCAGAGACTGGCTCTCCAGCCAACAGGAAAGACATGTCACCCTTGCCTTGGGTGTCCCTCTCCTGTCTCAGTTTAACTTTAGAGGATATTGGGCCTGGTTTTCTTGTCCCTTCACGCCCTAGCCCCTGGACAGCTGAGGGGCTAAAAGGAGCCTTACCACAGCAATGACAACCTCCCCCTCCGCACAGGGGAGGAGCACGCTCAGGCTTCCTCTGCTTTGTCTCTTCAGCCCTGTGGTTGCTCTGCTCATCTGTGCCCAAGGTTCCCAGGTGCAGGACAGAGGTGTAGCCTGTTGTACCTTGTGAAATAAAGCAGCCCCTGCTGCCCCTGCCTCCCTTTCCTTTCCAGCCCTGCTGCTTCCTACCTAACTGTCCTGCCAGTGCTGTGTGGCCAGAGCAGGGCTCAGGCAACTCTTTCTCTCTCTTTTTTTCTTTTTTATATACTTTTAGACAGTTTTGTATTTATAGAATTATTGCAGAGATAGTATGGAGAGTTCCCACATAGCCCACACCCAGTTTTTCAGTTACTATTTATTTTTGAGACGGAGTCTTGCTCTGTCACCCAGGCTAGAGTGCAGTGGTGCAGTCTCTGCTCACTGCAACCTCTGCCTCCCAGGTTCAAGAGGTTCTCTTGCCTCAGCCTCCTGAAGCTGGGATTACAGGTGTGGTCTCCACTATTGTTAACACCTTACGTTAATATGGTACATTTGTCACAATGAGCCATTATTGATATATTATTAACTAGACTCCATACTTTAGATTTACTCAGTTTCCCCCTAATGTCCTTTTCCCCTCAGAATCCCATCTCATAATCATCCTGCCTCTTGGATGTGATGGTTTCTTAAACCTTCCCTGTTTCTGATGACCTTATAGTTTTGGGGAGTACTGGACAGGCATATGGTAGGGAAGCCCTTCTATCAGGATTTGTCTGATATTTCCTCATGACTAGACTGGGGTTTTGGGTTTTGGAGAGGAAGACCAGAAGTCAGGTGCTATTCTTGCCACATCTCAAGGGCTCATGCTGACTTTGATCACCTGACTGAGGTAAGCTTTGCCAGGTGTCTCTGGACCCTTGGAAGAAAGTCACTTTGTGTAGTCCACATTTAAGAAGTGGGGAATTATGTTCTACCTCCTTAAGGGCAGAATATTTACAGTTTATTTGGAATTCTCCTGCATGGGAGATGTGCCTGTTTTCCCTCATTTATTCAGTCATCCATTTATATCAGCATGGACTCACAGGTATTTATTTTATACTTTGGGATATGATCTCAAACTACTTAATATTGTTGCCAAGCAACTCTTTGTTGCTGTGGCTTCACTGTACCACTTTTTAGACTAAAGGTGGACAAGGGGCATGGGTGGGTATGAAAGGTCTAATTATACCGAGTTGCCAACCTTGTTTTCCTTTCTGGAAGGAGAGTTGGGAAAACTCTCCCAACTCATGGGCAAGAGGAGGCAGGTTAAAGAGCCCAGTTTGGGCCAAGTGTGGAGGCTTACACTTGTACTCCTGGCATTTTAAGAGGCTGAGGTAGAAGGATTGCTTGAGCCCAGGAGTTCAAGTACAGCCTGGGCAAGATGGTGAGACCCTATCTCTTGAGTAAGTAAATAAAATAAATAGCCCTGTTTGACTGCCAGCCCCTCCTGCCTCAGTGTCAGCCTCAGCCTGCCCTAGGCAGCTGGGAGGCAGGCCTTCCATGGGCATGGGCTTGGCACTCCTCTGGGGGGAAGTGTTAATCTCCTTTACCCAAAGAGGCTGATCCCATGAATTCCAGTCTTTTCATTTTAAAAGACATGGTCTCGGCCGGGCGCGTTAGCTCACGCCTATAATCCCAGTACTTTGGGAGGCTGAGGCGGGTAGATCACGAGGTCAAGAGATCGAGACCATCCTGGTCAACAAGGTGAAACCCCGTCTCTACTAAAAATACAAAAATTAGCTGGGCATGGTGGTGCATGCCTGTAGTCCCAGCTACTTGGGAGGCTGAGGCAGGAGAATTGCTTGAACCCAGAAGGCAGAGGTTGTGGTGAGCCGAGATCGTGCCATTGCACTCCAGTCTGGGTAACAGCAGCGAAACTAAGTCTCAAAAAAAAAAAAAAAAAAAGACATGGTCTCACTTTGTCACCAAATGAGTGCAGTGCAGTGGTGTGATCATGGCTCACGGCAGCCTTGATCTCCAAGGTCAAGCAGTCTTCCCATCTCAGCCTCCCAAGTAATGGACTACTGGTGTGTGCCACCATGCCCAGCTAATTAACTTTTTTTTTTTGAGATGGAGTTTTGCTCTTGTTGCCCAGGCTGGAATGCAATGACATAATCTTGGCTCACAGCAACCTCCGCCTCCCGGGTTCAGGCAATTCTCCTGCCTCGGCCTCCCCAATAGTTGGGATTACAGGCATGCACCACCATGCCCAGCTAACTTTTGTATTTTTAGTAGAGACAGGGTTTCTCCATGTTGATCAGGCTCGTCTTGAACTCCCAACCTCAGGTGATCCACCCACCTTGGCCTCCCAAAGTGCTGGGATTACACATGTGAGCCACTGTGCCCCACTGGATCCCAGTCTTAAGGCTGAATTGAGCAAGCGCTTTGAGAACTGTTCAGCTACCTGCTGATTACAGCGGGGCCCTGTTCTAGCAGGCTTTCCTGCTACAAGACCAGGGCAATAAGGGGCTAATTCCCCTGCATCCTGGTCCCTTCACATTCCCATTGGGTCTTCCTACCTGAACCTACCATGCACTTCCTCCTCTCCCACCCTCTACTCCCTGCTAACTCCCCATCTACACTGGAATCTTCCTGCACCTAAACCCCCACAGCTGGGACTGGCAGCATGCACCTGTAGTCCCAGCCACTTGGGAGGCTGAGGTGAGAGGATCACTTGAGCCCATAAGGTTGAGACCAGTCTGGGAAACAGGGAGATCTCGTCTCTAAAAACATACCTCCCCCGCCCATGCCTTGGGCCTATTCCCCATTCTTGACACCCATAAGCCCTGGTCCCCCTGCTCACATCCTGGCTTCTGGTGTGTTTCACCACCCACAGGCTCTGAGTTCCCAGAAGGCAGGCTGGACATCTGATCACCTGCCCTGTTCCTTCCAGGTTGAAGTCAAGGCCTCCTTTTTCTGACCTCAGGACGCTAACGCTACAGACCAAGGGGACAGTATAGTGGCATCTTGGGACTGAGCTGTTAGGGTACCTTCAGGCCTGTGAGGCAAGAAGGCAGGGGAGAGGCTAGGCTGTGACTGTTATGTGCCTCAGGGAGGAAGGGGACGCCCACCTGCCTTGGCCCCTCTTGGTCCCAACCAGCCTTGCCAGATTCTCAACCCTGGGAACCCAGCTGTGGGTGCCCAGCCAGGCCGTTGGCGGGGCAATTAACACACTGAATTGATGCCAACAGGGTTAATCACGGCTGCATTTATAGAGGTGCCTTTCTCTGAGGATTTCCAAACTTTTGCTCTGTATGATCTCATTCCTCCTCTGGGATCCCCCAACCTGGAATGTCACCAAGAGACTTGAGACCAGGCAAAGAGTGAGTGAACAGTGAGCTAAGGGCAGTGCCAGAAAAAGCCCAGGCTACTGCCACCGACTTGAGCGGGCGGGTGGATGGATGAGTATTTGCTCTGGCAGAGAATAGGGACCTTCGTTCAATGTGCCACACATAAGAGGCCTGCCTGCCATGAGCCAAGTGCTCCGATTGTGCCAGAGCCTGCTCTGGAACCCACATCCAGCATGGCAAACGCACACAGCACGGATAGGTGCTTTACAATGTGTCCCCGTACTTTGAGAGTACAGACTGGGCAGTGGCTGGAACTGTAGGAGTTGGGCAACAGGTTGCCGAAGAGACCTCTCCCCAGAGCAGGTGACCTTAGGGGTAGACCCTGAGGACGGGGTCAAGGGAATTCTGAGCTAAGGGATTAGCCTGATGGAATGGTTGTGGGGAGCCGTGATGAGGATGCTACCCTATGTGAGTGACATGGGGCCACACCAGTAATCACAGCAATTCGAGAGGCTGACATGGGAGGACTACTTGAGGCCAAGATTTGGAGCCTTATTTAAAAAAAAAAATTAAAGGAAAGGATAGGTATTGAAAGTCAGCAGAAGGTTTTTGTTTGGAGACAGAGTCTTGCTCTGTCGTCCAGGCTGAAGTGCAGTGGCAGAATCTTGGCCTTCTGGGTTCAAGTGATTCTCCTGCCTCAGCCTCCATAGTAGCTGGGACTACAGGCGCCTGCCACCACGCCTGGCTAATTTTTGTATTTTTCGTAGAGACGGGGTTTCTCTATTTTGGCCAGGCTGGTCTTTAACTCCTGACCTTGTGATCTGCCCACCTCTCAAAGTGCTAGGATTATAGGTGTGAGCCACTGCCTCTGGCCAGCAGTTGTTTTTGTTTTTTTTTAAAAGATGGGGTTTCACCATATTGGTCAGGCTGGTCTCGAACTTCTGACCTCAGGTGATCAACCCACCTCAGTGCTGGGATTACAGGTGTGAGCCACCACGCCCGGCTGCCAGCAGTTTTTAAGCAAGGGAATTAACCATTTTAAATCATTCCTGCATTGGAGTAGAAGGGATATGGCCAGAGGGAAAAACACCAGGTGAGAGGCTGAGTTGATCCAGGTTTAAGGCATTGAGGGGATGAACTTGAGATGGTGCCTGAAAATGTGAGGCTGGGAGCTAGAACTTGCTTGTGTGAAGGGCTTTTTAGGGAGAGGAAGGAATGAAAGATCACTGGCAAGGTGCTGCTGCAGGGCCAGGAGGCAGGATGGGCAGCAGGGGAAGGAGCCAGACCAGCCCTGCCTGCAGGCCACTGCGCACTGAGTGAGCTCAGGTGAGAAGAGTTTTTGAGGCAGTGCCCTCCCCTTCCCCAGCTTGGCAGGCACACCAGCTGGTGCGGTTTCACGGCCTCATTCCTCCCCCTAGAGGCTCCTGGAAGCACAGCACTTTCTCCTAAGAGTGAACAGGTCTGTGGCTTGAACATCTCAGGTCCAGTCCCAGAGTTTCCAGGTCAACCCCTTGGCTCTCCTCAGGCCAGCCATGTGAGCCCCCTAAGCAGCTGGGTTAAAAAAAAAAAATCAAGAATGATTGAAGGGGCCGGGCACTGTGACTCATGCCTGTAATGCCAGCATTTTGGGAGGCTGAGGTAGGTGGACTGCCTGAGGTCAGGAGTTTGAGACCAGCCTGGCCAACATGGCGAAACCTACTATTAAAAATACAAAATCAGCTGGGCATGGTGGCATGTAATCCCAGCTACTCGGGAGGCTGGGCAAGAGAATCGCTTTAACCCCAGGAAGCAGAGGTTGCAGTGAGCCAAGATCATGCCACTGCACTCCAGCCTGGGTGACATATCGAGAAAAAAGAATGATTGAAGGCAGTTTCTAGAGACCAGTCTGTCCTGCTTGGAGAATGGGGGAGGCTGCCACGTGGCTGCAACAGCTGGAGCCAAAAAATGCACCATCTTTTTTTTTTTTTTTTTTTTAAAGAGATGGAGAGACCAGGCGTGGTGGCCTGTACTCCACCCTGGGTGACAGGGTGAGACTCCCCCTCAAAAAAAAGAGAGATGCAGGTCTCACTTTGTTGCCCAGGATGGCCTGAAATTCCTAGGCTCAAGCAATCCTCTGGCCTCAGCCTCCCAAAGTGTTAGAATTACAGGCATGAGCCACCATTCTTGGCCCAAAGCACACCATCTATGTGGGGTCCTGACTCTGCCTCTCACAAACTGTGACCCTGAACCAGTAGATTACTTTGTTAAGCCTTAGGTTCCTCATCTGTAAAACAGAGATAAGGGTTGGACATGGTGTCTCATGCCTATAATCTCAGCATTTTGGGAGACTGAGGCGGGCGGATTGCCTGAGCTCAGGAGTTTGAGAACAGCCTGGGCAACACAGGAGTTTGAGACCAGCCTGGGCAACATGGGGAAACCCAGTCTCTACTAAAATACAAAAACGTAGCCAGGCATGGCAGCGTGTGCTTGTAGTCCCAGCTAATTGGGAGGCTGAGGCAGAATTGCTTGAACCTGAGAGGCGGAGTTGCAGTGAATGGAGATCACACCACTGCACTCCAGCCTGAGCTACAGAGTGAGACTCCATCTCAAAAAAAAAAGAGAGAGATAAGATCACACATCTCAGAGGTGTGTGTTTGTGATAATTTCATTTATAATCTAAACCAACTTTATTTTATTTTTAGAGACAGCCTCGCTCTGTCGCCAGGCTGAAGTGCAGTGGGCATGATCTCGGCTCCCTGGTTCAAGTGATTCTCCTGCCTCAGCCTCCCGATTAGCTGTGATTACAGACACTCCCCACCACACCCAGCTAATTTTTGTATTTTTAGTAGAGATGGGGTTTCTCCATGTTGGCCAGGCTGGTCTCAAACTCCTCACCTCAGGTGATCCACCCGCCTTGGCCTCCCAAAGTGCTCAAACTAAGTTTATTGATTACTGCATGGGCTGGGAAGTATGGTCCCCTGGGTGAAAATGGATATGAATGTGATTTAAACACTGTGAAACTCTGTACATATGTACAGAGTTATTACAGAGTTATTGCTGTTACTGCAGATGCTGGGAAGAGCTGCTCACCTATTCAGGAACTATCTTGACCTTGCCTTACCTCCTGTGCTGAGGTCAGCCCTATCTTCTCCACGTGGGCCAGTGGTGGGTGGCTCCTGCCCTCCAGCCAACATCAGAGAGGATGGAGGCACCTTGTCTTCCAGCCCTGCCCATTTTCATGACTGACCTTCTCAAACACCCTGGACCTTGCCAACCCGAGATGCTCACTTTAGAGACAAGGGAGGATGCAGATACTGGGGTTCAGAGGTGGCCTCAGCTGAGGGTCTGCTGACCAACCAGAGGGTATCATCAGGGGCAGGGGCTGGTCCTCGACCTGGGCTGGGGGTTGGGCCAGCACCAAGATCATGACTCTGAGCAAACTGTGTTTACCAGAGCAGCAAACAACCTATTTATAGCCTCAGCTGCTGCTTTCTCTGGCTCACAGCAGAGGGGGCAGGGTGGCTCCTCAGAGCAAGGAAGGTAGTCGGGTCAAGGGAACCAGGCTTTGCCCAGGTGCCCCTGCCCAAACCCCTGGGCCTCACCCATGGCAAGGGAGACCTTCCCCTTCACCTCCTCCACGCTGCGCTCTCTCCGCTTACAGCGGGAGTGGCTGGAATGGGAAGACTGGCGGCAGGCAGCTGCCCAACAGTGCCGGAGAGAAAGGTGCCCATCAAGTCCCCGGGCTCGACTCACTAGGCCTCACCGTTCCTGTGGAGACCCAGCTGTCCACCATGCCCTGTTCCCCGGCAACCTGCAGCAGGTCCAAGGCCTGTTCCAAGATGAAGAGGCTGCCAACATGACTGTGGAGACCGTGAGCAACCAGCTGGCCTGGTCAGCTGAACAGGGTAGGGGGCACCAGAATAGGGTAGAAGAGGGAGAAAGAAGGGGAGTGGGTGGGGAGGAGGGAGAGTCTAGGCTCCCCCTTCCCTGCAGACCACAGACTAGAGCAGCCCTTTCACCACCCATCCTAGCTCCCTCCTAAACAGAGATGAGGCAGAGTTAGCAGTATGTATGCCTTTTAAGAATTAAAAGTTATATTCTTGGCTTTGGCATGGTGTCTCATGCCAGTAATCCCAGCACTTTTTTTTTTTTTGAGACGGAGTTTCGCTCTTGTTACCCAGGCTGGAATGCAATGGCGCAGTCTCGGCTCACCACAACCTCCGCCTCCTGGGTTCAGGCAATTCTCCTGCCTCAGCCTCCTGAGTAGCTGGGATTACAGGCACGCGCCACCATGCCCAGCTAATTTTTTGTATTTTTAGTAGAGCCGGGTTTCACCATGTTGACCAGGATGGTCTCGATCTCTTGACCTCGTGATCCACCCGCCTCGGCCTCCCAAAGTGCTGGGATTACAGTGCCCGGCCAATCCCAGCACTTTGAGAGGCTGAGGCCGAGGCCGGACTACTGCTTTAGACCAGGAGTTCAAGACCAGCTTGAGCAACATAGAAGACCCCTATAGTTACAGGGAAAAAAAAAGAAGGGAAATAAATTCTACTGTAGAAGCATGTGCCATTAATTTTATAACTAGCCCCCAAACCAACTGGGTAGATTTTTTAAAAACTATTTTAAGTACCAGTATAATGAACATCTTTATGTACTTGCCAGATGATATCCTTAGAATATAATCTGGCTAGGCTGGGCACGGTGGCTAACACCTGCAATCCCATTTTGGGAGGCCAAGGTGGGCAGACCATGAAGTCAGGAGATGGAGACTATCCTGGCCAATATGGTGAAACCCTGTCTCTACTAAAAATACAAAAATGGGCTGGTTGTGGTGGCATGCACCTGTAGTCCCAGCTATTTGGGAGGCTGAGGCAGGAGAATTGCTTGAACCTGGGAGGCGGAGATTGTAGTGAGCTGAGATAACAACACTCTAATCCAGCCTGATGACAGAGTGAGACTCTGTCAAAAAAAAAAAAAAAAAAAAAAAAAAAGAATATATTCTGGACAGCAGGTCTGTCCAAATAAACTAAACACCCTAGCTGAGATCACCATGCTCTCAAGATTGACAAGAAATTGCTCAAACCCCACCCATGGATCTGGGGCTTGAATCCTTGGGAGAGCATAAACTCCCCCAGTCACTACAGGTTCCAAATTCCTGCTTGGCTGTGACCCAACCCGGCAATTCTGGTCTTGTCCTGCATCTTGTCCATAATCCCCAAGATGGAACTCAGCCTTAATTTCAAGTCTACTAAAAAACAAAACATGCTTTACTCAAGACAGAAAAGCCAGGGGTGGACTGTGCTGCCATGCAAACAACTTCTAGTTTGATATGAGGCATCTATGCCCTTTAAATAAGTCCCTGACCACTGCAACCATTCAAATCCAACACTACTCCCATGATCACCCTCTCCTTATTCATTTCCCATCCGAACCTCTTATTCTCCCCTCCACCATTCCTCCATTTCCATCCAACCCTCCCCGCCCCAGGAGTATCCCAGAACTCAGTTCTGCTCTTTGGCCATTCCCAAACTCAGCTCCAGGCCCACTTCTGCATAACTACCCACCCCCCTTTTTTGTTCATCCAAGACCAAGATGAACATTTTTTTCTTTTTACATTTTTTTAAAAAAATAGCCGGGTGTGGTGGCTCACGCCTGTAATCCCAGCACTTTGGGAGGCCAAGGCAGGCAGATCATAAGGTCAGAAGTTTGAGACCAGCCTGACCAATGTGATAAAACCCCGTCTCTATTAAAAATACAAAAATTACCCCAAGGCACATAATCGTCAGATTCAACAAGGTTGAAATAAAGGAGAAAATACTAAGGGCAGCCAGGGAGAAAGGTCGGGTCACCCACAAAGGGAAGCCCATCAGACTCACAGCAGATCTCTCGGCAGAAACTCTACAAGCCAGAAGAGAGTGGGGGCCAATATTCAACATCCTTAAAGAAAAGAACTTTCAACCCAGAATTTCATATCCAGCCAAACTGAGCTTCAGCAGTGAAGGAAAAATAAAATCCTTTGTGAACAAGCAAGTACTCAGAGACTTTGTCACCCCCAGGCCTGCTTTACAAGAGCTCCTGAAAGAGGCACTACACATAGAAAGGAACAACCAATACCAGCCATTCCAAAATCATACTAAATGCTAAAGAGCATCAACATAATGAAGAATCTACAACAACTAACGGGCAAAACAGCCAGCTAGCATCAAAATGGCAGTATCAAATTCACACATAACAATATTAACCCTAAATGTAAATGGACTAAATGCACCAATCAAAAGACACAGACTGGCAAATTGGATAAAAATCCAAAACCCATCAGTGTGCTGTATCGAGGAAACCAATCTCACAAGCAAGGATACACAAAGGCTCAAAATAAAGGGATGGAGGAAGATTTACCAAGCAAATGGAGAGCAAAAGAAAGCAGGAGTTGCAATTCTCATCTCTGATAAAATAGACTTTAAAGCAACAAAGATCAAAAGAGACAAAGAAGGCCATTACATAATGGTAAAAGGATAGATAGAACAAGAAGAGCTAACGATCCTAAACATATATGGACCCAATACAGGAGCACCCAGATACATAAGGCAAGTTCTTAACAACTTACAAAGAGACTTAGACTCCCACACAATAATAGTGGGAGACTTTAACACTCCACTGTCAATATTAGACAGATCAACCAGACAGAAAATCAACAAGGATATCCAGGGCTTGAACTCAGACCTGGAGCAAGCAAACCTGATAGACATTTACAGAACTCTCCACCACAAATCCATAGAATATACATTCTTCTCAGCACCACATCACACCTACTCTAAAATTGACCACATAATTGGAAGTAAAGCACTGCTCAGCAAATGCAAAACAACTGAAATCATAACAAACAGCCTCTCAGACCATAGTGCAATCAAGTTAGAACTCAGAATTCAGAAACCAACCCAGAACCGCACAGCTTCATGGAAACTGAACAACTGGCTCTTGAATGTTGACTGGATAAACAACGAAATGAAGGCAGAAATAAAGAAGTTCTTCGAAACCAATGAGAACGAAGACACAACATGCCAGAATCTCTGGGACACATTTAAAGCAGTCTCTAGAGGAAAGTATATAGCAATAAGTGCCCATATGAGAAGAATGGAGAGATCCAAAATTGACACCCTATCGTCAAAATTGAAAGAGCTAGAGGAGCAAGATCAAAAAAACTCAAAACCCAGCAGAAGACAAGAAATAACTAAGATCAGAACTGAACTGAAGGAGATTGAGACACGAAAAACCCTCCAAAAAAATCAATAAATCCAAGAGCTGGTTTTTTTGAAAAGATCAACAAAATAGACCACTAGCCAGATTGATTAAAAATAAAAGAGAGAACAACCAAATAGATGCAATAAAAAATGATAAAGGGGAAATCACCACAGACTCCACAGAAATTTAAACCATCATCAGAGAATATTACAAACAACTCTATGCACATAAACTAGTAAACCTGGAAGAAATGGATAAATTCCTGGACTCCTGTGTCCTCCCAAGCCTAAACCAGGAGGAAGCTGAAACTATGAATAGACCAATAACAAGGGCAGAAGTCGAGACAGCAATTAAGAGCCTACCACACAAAAAAAGCCCAGGTCCAGACGGGTTCACAGCCGAATTCTACCAGACACACAAAGAGGAGCTGGTACCATTTCTTCTGAAACTATTCCAAATAATCCAAAAAGAAGGAATCCTTCCCAAATCATTCTATGAGACCAATATCATCCTGATACCAAAACCCGGCAGAGACCCAACAAGAAAAGAAAACTTCAGGCCAATATCTATGATGAACATAGATGCAAAAATCTTCAATAAAATATTGGTAAGCCGATTGCAACAGCCAATCAAAAAACTTATTCATCATGATCAAGTAGGATTCATCCCGGGGATGCAAGGCTGGTTCAACATACACAAGTCTATCAGTGTAATTCACCACATAAACAGAACCAAAAACAAAAACCACATGATTATCTCAATTGATGCAGAGAAGGCATTTGACAAAATTCAACAGCCCTTTATGCTAAAAACCCTCAATAAACTCGGTATCGATGGAACGTATCTCAAAGTAATAAAAGCTATTTATGACAAACCAACAGCCAATATCATACTTAATGGGCAAAAACTGGAAGCATTCCCTTTGAAATCCGGCACTAGACAAGGATGCCCTCTATCACCACTTCTATTCAATATAGTACTGGAAGTTCTAGCCAGAGCAATCAGGCAAGAAAAAGAAATAAAGGGTATTCAAATAGGAAAGGTGGAAGCCAAATTGTCTCTATTTGCAGACGACATGATAGTATACCTAGAAGACCCCATCACCTCAGCCCAAAAACTCCAGAAACTGATAAGCAACTTCAGCAAAGTCTCAGGATATAAAATCAGCGTGCAAAAATCACAAGCCTTCCTCTACACCAATAACAGACTTAAAGAGAGCCAAATCAAGAACGAACTGCCATTCACAATTGCTACAAAAAGAATAAAATACCTTGGAATACAACTCACAAGGAACGTAAGGGACCTCTTCAGGGAAAACTACAAACCACTGCTCAACGAAATCAGAGAGGACACAAACAGATGGAGAAACATTCCATGTTCATGGTTAGGAAGAATTAATATCGTGAAAATGGCTATACTGCCCAAAGTAATTTACAGAATCAATGCTATACCCATCAAGCTACCTTTGACTTTCTTCACAGAACTGGAAAAAACCACCATGAACTTCATATGGAACCAAAAGAGAGCCCGCATAGCCAAGTCAATTCTAAGCAAAAAGAACACAGCGGGGGGCATCACACTACTGGATTTCAAACTATACTACAAGGCTACAGTAATCAAAACAGCATGGTACTGGTACCAAAACAGAGATATAGACCAATGGAACAGAACAGAGGCATCAGAGGCAACACAACATAGCTACAACCATACAATCTTTGATAAACCCGACAAAAACAAGCAAGGGGGAAAGGATTCCCTGTTCAATAAATGGTGCTGGGAAAACTGGCTAGCCATGTGCAGAAAGCAGAAACTGGACCCCTTCCCGACACCTTACACCAAAATTAACTCCAGATGGATTAAAGACTTAAACCTAAGACCTGGCACCATAAAAACCCTAGAAGGAAATCTAGGCAAAACCATCCAGGACATAGGAGTAAGCAAGGACTTCATGAACAAAACACCAACAGCATTGGCAACAAAAGCCAAAATAGACAAATGGAACCTAATGAAACTCCACAGCTTCTGCACAGCAAAAGAAACAGTCTCTAGTGTGAATCGGCAACCAACAGAATGGGAAAAAATTTTTGCAGTTTACCCATCTGACAAAGGGCTGATATCTAGAATTTACAAAGAACTCAAACAGATTTACAGGAAAAAAACAAACAAGCCCATTCAAAATAGGGCAAAGGATATGAACAGACACTTTACGAAAGAAGACATATATGAGGCCAACAATCATATGAAAAAATGCTCATCGTCACTGGTCATCAGAGAGATGCAAATCAAAACCACATTGAGATACCATCTCACGCCAGTTAGAATGGCGATCATTAAAAAATCTGGAGACAACAGATGCTGGAGAGGATGTGGAGAAAAAGGAACACTTTTACACTGTTGGTGGGAGTGTAAATTAGTTCAACCATTGTGGAAGACAGTGTGGCGATTCCTCAAGGCCTTAGAAATAGAAATTCCATTTGACCCAGCAATCCCATTGCTGGGTATATATCCAAAGGACTATAAATCGTTCTACTATAAGGACACATGCACACGAATGTTCATTGCAGCACTGTTTACAATAGCAAAGACCTGGAATCAACCCAAATGCCCATTAATGATAGACTGGATTGGGAAAATGTGACACATATACACCATGGAATATTATGCAGCAATCAGAAATCATGAGTTCGTGTCGTTTGTAGGGACATGGATGAATCTGGAGAACATCATTCTCAGCAAACTGACACAAGAACAGAAAATGAAACACCGCATATTCTCACTCATAGGCGGGTGATGAAAAATGAGAACACATGGACACAGAGAGGGGAGTACTAAACACTGGGGTCTATTGGGGGGAAAAGGGGAGGGCCAGTGGGAGAGGGAGGTGGGGAGGGATAGCCTGGGGAGAAATGCCAAATGTGGGTGAAGGGGAGAAAGCAAACAAAACACACTGCCATGTGTGTACCTATGCAACTGTTTTGCATGCTCTGCACATGTACCCCAAAACCTAAAATGCAATAAAAATAAATAAATAAATAAATAAATAAATAAGCCAGGTGTGGTGGCGTGTGCCTATAATCCCAGCTAATAAGGAGGCTGAGGCAGGAGAATCACGTGAACCTGGGAGGCAGAGGGTGCAGTGAGCTGAGATCACATCATTGCACTCCAGCCTGGGCAACAAAGCAATACTCCATGTCAAAAGAAAAGAAAAAATAGAGACATTCTCCTGATCATGGGTTTTGCTGTACAAAAAAAGAAAGAAAGAAAAAAAATAAATAGAAACAAAGTCTCACTGTGTTGCTCAGGCTGGTCTGGAACTCCTGACCTCAAGTGATCCTACCACCTCAACCTCCCAAAGTGCTAGGATTACAGATGTGAACCACCATGCCAGGCCCCAAGGTGAACAAAAAAAGCCATTGACACTATTAGCCATTCAAAGACTTTGAGGTTTCCTTAATGGGATTCACTCTACTTAGTTGGCTCCTGTGGTTTTACACAGCAATTAATTTTTTTTATGACACATACTATGTTTTGTTACAGACTGATAAACTGTTCTAAAAGGCTGTTCCAATTTATTCTTCCAATTCAGGACTTGAATAAGCCCCTTTCCATAGGTACAGCCAGGCAGTGTTTGTGCTCAGCAAACCATGCAGCGGGAAGGCCAGTGTCAGCTGTCAGCTGGAACCAGCATCCCCACATTCTGCCTTCCCGTCTTATGCATCACCGCCCAACATTATTTGCTCTCCCCAGGGTTCTGGGTGCTGACCCCCAAGACAAAGCAGACGGCACCCCTCACCATCGCTGCAGCCAGAGGCTACACAGATTGTGCTCGTCACCTGATTCGGCAGGGAGCTGAGCTGAATGCCTGTGTTGGGGGTCGCACTGCCTTGCACGAAGCCTGTGCCCGGGCCCAGCTCGACTGTGTGCGGCTGCTGCTGACTTTTGGAGCCAAGGCTAATGTGCTGTCCGAGGAGGGCACAACTCCCCTGCACCTCTGCGCAACTCCCGAGTCCTTGCAGTAGGTGCCTGGGGGCTGAATGGTTTGGGGAGGCATGTGTGTGTGTCTCCAACTCACAGGGCCAGAAGAGGGAACCTGACAACTACATGCAGCTTTATGGTTCACAAAGCACCTCACATACATGTCTTTACAATAACCTGGAGACAGGCCTCATTCTACAGTGAGAAAGACGAAGCTCAGAAAGGTTTAGTAACTTGTCCAAGGTCACATCTGTTAAGCCCAGGAGGCAGAAGGCCTGTTGCTTTCTGGGAAAATTCTGTTCCAATTGCAGTCTCCAATTCCCTGTGAACCTTTGTAGCCAAATTCCTAGCTGGTTTGTTTGTTTGAGACGGAGTTTCGCTCTCGTTACCCAGGCTGGAGTGCAATGGCACGATCTCGGCTCACCGCAACCTCCACCTCCTGGGTTCAGGCAATTCTCCTACCTCAGCCTCCTGAGTAGCTGGGATTACAGGCACACGCCACCATGCCCAGCTAATTTTTTGTATTTTTAGTAGAGACGGGGTTTCACCATGTTGACCAGGATGGTCTCGATATCTTGACCTCGTGATCTACCCGCCTCGGCCTCCCAAAGTGCTGGGATTACAGGCTTGAGCCACTGCGCCCAGCCTGTTGGTTTTTTTTTTTTTTTTTTTTTTTTAGATGAAGTCTTGCTCTGTTGCTCAGGCTATAGTGCAGTGGTGTGATCTTGGCCACCATGCCCAGCTAGTTTTTGTATTTCTAGTAGAAATAGGGTTTTGCCATGTTGGCCAGGCTGCTCCTAAACTGCTGACCTCAAGTGATCTCCCCGTCCTCGGCCTCCTAAAGTGGTGGGATTATAGGCATGAGCCACCATGCCCAGTTCAAATACCTACTTGTTTTGAGGTATTAAGAAAGATCTGGCTGGGCGTGGTGGTTCACACCTGTAATTCCAGCTACTAGGGAGGCTGAGGTGCAAGAATTGATTGAACCCCGGGAGGCGGTGGTTGCAGTGAGCCAAGATTCTGCTACTGCACTTCAGCCTGGGTGACAGAGTGAGACTGTCTAAAAAAAAAAAGAGGCCAGGTATGGTGGCTCATGCTTGCAATCCCAGCACTTTGGGAGGCTGAGGAGGGCAGATCAGCTGATGTCAGGAGTTCAAGACCAGCCTGGCCAATATGGTAAAACCCTGTCTCTACTAAAAATTTTAAAAACATTAGCCAGGTGTGGTAGTGGGTGCCTGTAATCCCAGCTACTTGGGAGGCTGAGGCAGGAGAACTCCTTGAACCCAGGAGACAGAGGTTGCAGTGAGCCAACACAGTGCCTATGTACTCCAGCCTGGGCAACAGATTGAAACTCCATCTCAAAAAAAAAAAAAAAAAAAAGTGCCGGGCATGGTTGCTCATGCTTGTAATCCCAGCACTTTGGGAGGCTGAGGCCAGCGGATCACAAGGTCAGGAGATCAAGACCATCCTGGCCAACATGGTGAAACCTCATCTCTACTAAAATACAAAAATTAGCCGAGCATGGCAGTACATGCCTGTAGTCCTAGCCACTCGAGAGGCTGAGGCAGGAGAATTGCTTGAACCCAGGAGGTGGATGCTGCAGTGAGCCAAGATTGTGCTACTGCACTCCAGCCTGAGCGAAGACTGAGACTCCATCTCAAAAAAAAAAAAAAAAAAAAAAATTAGTATTTGGAAACAAAAATTAGTCTATGATTAGAATTTACCAAGGAGATAAATTCAGTAGTTTATGGAAGACTGACTGCTACTCATGTCTTGGCTACAGAGCAAGGCACCTACCTGGATATGTGAGCAAGAATTTTGGCCATTTTGGGAAAGGGTATTTGCTTATCAGGGTTTCATCAAGGTTGGTGGATCTGCTCCTGAGTTTCAATCAGCTGCCATTCTGGCTTTTTAATGATAAGTTACTGTTAGCTTGGTTTCATCATTAATTTAGCTTGTTGCATGTGTGGTTTACCCTGCAATAGGTAAGGATGCATGTTTGCCACAACAGTGTTCTGACCTGTAATTTTCCCTGGAACTGGGAAACACGTACTCTCTAAAACCTGTTTTTGTTGTTGTTTTTCCTTTGTTTTTTGTTTGTTTGTTTGTTTTCTCTAGGGGAAAGTGGAGGAGGGCGGCCCCAAGTGCCTGCCTTTGCTTGAATGAGTGTGGTCTGGTTTAGAAGAGTGTTTTTTTTTAAGGTGGAGTCTCTCTCTCACCCAGGCTGGAGTGCAGTGGCACAATCTTGACTCACTGCAACCTCTGTCTCCTGGGTTCAAGCGATTCTCCTGCCTTAGCTTCCTGAGTAGCTGGGATTACAGGCGCACGCCACCACGCCCAACTACCTTTTGTATTTTTAGTAGTTTCACCATGTTAGTCAGGCTGGTCTTGAACTCCTGACCTAGCGAGGCAGGAGGACTGCTTGAGCTTGGGTGGTCCAGGCTACATGACCTGTAATCACGCCACTGCACTCACTTCACCCTGGGCATAGAGAGAGACCCTGTCTCAAAAAAAAAAAAAAAAAAAAAGAGAACAAACAACTGAAAAATTCAGAACCAGACCTTTAGGGTAGAGTCAAAGTAGACTCTGGGAAGGACTGTCTAAGGCCGTGAGGGCTAATTCTGGAGCAGCCACTAACTTGCTGTATGTCCTGGCTCCACAAGTCATTTTTGGGCTTAAGTTTTTCATATGAAAATTGAAGATACTTCTGGTGGCTCTCAGGACCTTCCAGTTCTGCTGTCTGTAGTGGGGCTTGGGTAATTCTCATAGAGGACACCAGGTAGCACCTCAAGGTGAGAGGGGTGGAAAAGGAAGGGAGGGTGACTGCAAGCTGAAGGGGGTCCCAGGCCTTCGGGATTTTCCCTGGGGTCTTGCTCTCTGTCCCCAGGTGCGCCAAGTTGCTGCTGGAAGCGGGAGCGACAGTGAACCTCGCGGCAGGGGAGAGCCAGGAGACGCCCCTGCACGTGGCGGCGGCGCGCGGCCTGGAGCAGCACGTGGCTCTGTACCTGGAGCATGGCGCCGACTTGGGCCTATGCACCAGCCAGGGCGAGACGGCGCTGAACGCAGCGTGCGCGGGGGCTGAGGGCCCCGGCAGCTGCAGGCAGCACCAGGCGGCGGCGTGCCGGCTCCTGGAGGCTGGAGCTGATGCCCGGGCGGCTGGGCGCAAGCGCCACACGCCGCTGCACAACGCTTGTGCCAATGGCTGCGGGGGCCTAGCCGAGCTGCTGCTGAGCCACGGGGCCGTCGCTGAGGTCCCCAATGGGGCAGGCCACACACCCATGGACTGTGCGCTGCAGGCCGTCCAGGATGCCCCAAACTGGGAGCCTGAGGTCCTCTTCGCAGCACTGCTGGACTACGGGGCCCAGCCTGTGCGCCCTGAGGTGCGCAGGGAGGGCCTGAGATAGGAGGCTCCCCTGTGGGGGAGCCTGTGGCTGGAACTGCTCTACCTCTGGGGAAAAAGAGAAGGTCCAAGAGACTGAAAGCATGCCCTCAGCGGCCAGGGGGCTGTCCTCAGCTTGGGAAGCGGGTAGAGGATTCTGGGAGATAGAGTCCAAGGGAGGAAAGAGCCCCCGAAGAAAACTAGGGCAGAAAGGCTGCTGGAGCACACTTGAGGGTGGGGTGGACAGAGGCATGGAAGAGGAGAAGAAGAGATTCAGACCTTAGCCCCCCATATTAGGCTATGATTGGCCATATAGGTTAGGCGGGACTTGGGTCTGCCCTCGGCTGGTGGAGGCATGGTGCCCAAGACCCTCTTTTGACTCCTAGATGCTGAAATACTGTGCCAACTTCCCTCGGGCCCTGGAAGTCCTGCTTAATGCCTATCCTTGTGTCCCATCCTGTGAGACCTGGGTGGAGGCGGTGCTCCCAGAGCTGTGGAAGGTATGTCCACCTCAGGGCCAAGTTGGGGAAGAGGGATGAGCCACAGACCTATTCCTCCAGGACCAGCTTCATGAAGGGAGAAGCAGGAGGGCCCCTGGGTAGAAAGGATGGGTAGAGTGGCACACCTGGGTTTCAGGGTACCCCCTCCCTCAGTATCCCAGGCTGACCCCTAATTCCACACACCTCTCCCACCTCCCTTACTTGCATCAGCACAGACATTTATCAGGAAACTCTAACTTGGTGGGCACAGTGCCAGCCTCTCTGGGGTGGGAGTGGGTGCAGACATAGTGGAGGCCCTTCCCTGAAGTGTAGCCCAGCCCCCATTATCACCGCAGGGCCTCTATGGCTCTGAATCCAAGTCCTTTGAGACACAGGAAACACCCAGGTGGGTGCATGCTGCAAATCATCTGACCCTCTTTCACTCCTGGCCTAGGAGCATGAAGCCTTCTACAGCTCAGCCCTGTGCATGGTGAATCAACCAAGGCGGCTGCAGCACCTGGCCCAACTAGCTGTGCGTGCTCGGTTGGGAAGCCACTGCCGGCAGGGTGCCACCCGGCTGCCACTGCCCCCGCTCCTCAGGGACTACCTGCTGCTGCATGTGGAGGGGTGCATCCAGTGAGCCCCATGTCAGGCTGTTCCCATGGTGTGTTCTGCTGCTTCCACCTGTCCCCACCTCCAATCCCAGAGGACCAGTCCCTGGCCCTCTTTTCTTTCTCTCTTTTTTTTTTTTTTTTTTTTTTTTTGAGATGGAGTTTTGCTCTTGTTGCCCAGGCTGGAGTGCAATGGTGTGGTCTTGACTCACTGCCACCTCCCGGGTTCAAGCGATTCTCCTGCCTTAGCCTCCTGAGTAGCTGGGATTACAGGCATGCACCACCACACCTGGCTAATTTTGTATTTTCAGCAGAGACGGGGTTTCTCCATGTTGGTCAGGCTGGTCTCAAAATTCCGACCTCAGGTGATCCACCCACCTCAGCCTCCCAAAGTGCTAGGATTACAGGCTTGAACTACTGTGCCCAGCCCTTTTTTTTTTTTTTGAGACCAAGCATCACCCTGTTGCCCAGGCTGGAGTACAGTGGTGCAATCTTGGCTCAGTGCAACCTCCACCACCTGGGTTCAAGTGACTCTTGTGCCCCAGCCTCCTGAGTATCGGGGACTATAGGTGTGAGCCATCACGCCTGACTAATTTTTGTATTTTTAGTAGAGATGGGGTTTCACCAAGTTGGTCAGGCTGGTCTCTAACTGACCTCAGGTGATCCACCTGCCTCAGCCTCCCAAAGTTCTGGGATTACACGTGTGAGCCACTGTGCCCAGCCACTGGCCCTCTTTTCTGTACTCCATATGCTGTCCTGGGCCAGCTCCTTCCTCCATGGGCTCCTTGAGACACTTTCTGACCTCTATCTGGCCTGAGCTTTAGACCCTCTCGCCACCAGAAAGGGCCACAGACTTGGCCTTCACCTCCGTCCTCCTATAAGTGGATGGCTCCTCTATCCATCCAAGCCCCATGCCAACAACCAGTGATTCTAGTGGCCCATCACCTCTCTCTCCTGCCTCCCTTATACCTTTTCAGCCTCCTAAAGAGGGACAGATTCCACCGGGCATGGTGGCTCACGGCTCATGCCTATAATCCTAGCACTTTGGGAGGCCGAGGCAGGCAGATCACCTGAGGTCAGGAGTTTGAGACCTGCCTGATCAACATGGAAAAACCCCGCCTCTACTAAAAATACAAAATTAGCCAGGTGTGCTGGTGCATGCCTGTAATCCCAGCTACTCTGGAAGCTGAAGCAAGAGAATCGCTTGAACCTGGGAGGCGGAGGTTGTGGTAAGCCGAGATCATGCCATTGCACTCCAGCCTGGGCAACAGGAGCGAAACTATGTCTCAAAAAAAAAAAAAAGAAAGAAAAAGAAAGAAAAGGGCCGGGCACGGTGGCTCAAGCCTGTAATCCGAGCACTTTGGGAGGCCGAGGCAGGTGGATCACGAAGTCAAGAGATCAATACCACCCTGGTCAACATGGTGAAACCCCGTCTCTACTAAAAATACAAAAAATTAGCTGGGCATGGTGGCGCGTGCCTGTAATCCCAGCTACTCAGGAGGCTGAGGTAGGAGAATTGCCTGAACCCAGGAGGCGGAGGTTGCGGTGAGCCAAGATCATGCCATTGCACTCCAGCCGGGGTAACAAGAGCGAAACTCCGTCTCAAAAAAAAAACAGGGGCAAACTCTGCCTCTGTGTGTACTGCCTTGCCTGCCCTGCCTTTGTCACTCCAAGGGAGGTCTTAAGACCCATGCCCTGAATTGGTGCTGGAATGGTCTTTGGGAGTCAAACTGATGATGCCCGCCAGTGGCTCCTCTCACACTAAAATAAAAACTCAATAAAACAGAGCCTCTAGCCTCTGCCAAATTACCTGGCCTCCTGATTTCCCTTCTTCCTTCCGAAGTTCCCATACAGCCTTAGTAAACGAATCACCAGTTGCTGGATGTGATCTGCTCCTCTCTCTGCTTTCAAGTATTTGCATGCATTATTCCCACTGCTTGGAAAAATCTTCCACGTTTTTTGGCCTGGTCAAGGCTGATTTGGGCCCCAGGACTCAGTTCCAATACCACTATCTCTGCAGAGACTTCCTTGTACTTTTTTTTAAAATTAATTTATTTATTTTTTAAAAGATGGGGTTTCGGCCAGGCGCGGTGGCTCACACCTGTAATCCCAGCACTTTGGGAGGCCGAGGCGGGTGGATCACGAGGTCAAGACATCGAGACCATCCTGGTCAACGTGGTGAAACCCCGTCTCTACTAAAAATACAAAAAATTAGCTGGGCATGGTGGTGCGTGCCTGTAATCCCAGCTACTTGGGAGGCTAAGGCAGGAGAATTGCCTGAATCCAGGAGGTGGAGGTTGCGGTGAGCTGAGATCGCGCCATTGCACTCCAGCCTGGGTAACAAGAGCGAAACTCCGTCTCAAAAAAAAAAAAGATGGGGTTTCACCATGAAACCAGGCTAGTCTTGAACTCCTGACCTCAGATGATCCACCCGCCTTGGCCTCCCAAAGTGCTAGGATTACAAGCGTGAGCCACCTCACCTGACTTTTTTTTTTTTTTTTTTGAGACTGAGTCTTGCTCTGTTGCCCAGGCTGGAGTGCAGTGATGAAATCTTGGCTCACTGCAACCTCCACTTCCTGGGTTCAAGCAGTTCTCTTGCCTCAGCCTCCTGAGTAGCTGGGACTACAGACACACGCTGCCATGCCTGGCTAAATTTTTGTATTTTTTTAGTGGAGATGGGATTTCACCATGTTGCCCAGGCTGGTTTCCAACTCCCGAGCTCAGGCAATCTACTCACCTCAGCCTCCCAAAGTGCTGGGATTACAGGCGTGAGCCACCATGCCCGGCCTCTTTGGTACTTATTTAAGTGCCTGTGTCTGTCTCAACTAGGCTGAGACTGGAACTGTATTCCTTGGACAAGTATTTTAATAAATGACTGCGGAAGGAGAAATATCCATGAGCCTGGGATCCATCTAAGTCTCCTTCTGTCCCCAAGTGATGAATAGTGTTTTAAACAGTGGTTACCACATATGGTCTCTGAGGGCCCAGCCACCAACTGCCTAGACTCCCAGCTTCTTCCTCTTGTCCCAGAGTCAAAAGTACCACAGTATAGTTATTGGAAGAAACTTTTCAAAGCAAGCCAGTTTTTTGGTTTTTTTTTTTTTGAGACAGTCTCACTCTGTTACCAGGCACCAGGCTGGAGTGCACTGGCATGATCTCAGCTCACTGCAACCTCCACCTCCCGGGTTCAAGCAATTCTTCTGCCTCAGCCTCCTGAGTAGCTGGAACTACAGGCATACGCCACCATGCCCAGCTAATTTTTTGTATTTTTTAGTAGAGAGGGGTTTCACCATGTTGGCCTGGATGGTCTCGATCTCTTGACCTCGTGATCCACCTGCCTCGGCTTCCCAAAGTGCTGGGATTACAGGCGTGAGCCTCCTCGCCCAGCTGCAAGCCAGTTTTTATGAGTGCAAATAAATAATTAGTGCATGGAATGAAATTATGGATGTTGTTTGGCTTAAATATGACTGAGGTCCCCATCATTCCATGTTGATTCCCCAAGCCCTGGTGCTCTTCTGTGGTTTCCAAGTTTTCTGAACTGATCAACTATTACAAAAACAGCACAAGGGCCACATGCTATGTAGTCCTAGCTACAACGGAGGCTGAAGCAGGAGGATCACTGGACCCCAGGAGTTCAAAACCAGCCTGGGCAACAGAGTGAGACACTGTCCCTAAAACAATTTTTTTTTTTTTAAGACAGGGCCTCTCTGTCGCCCAGGCTAAAGTGCAGTGGCACGATCATGGCTCTGCAGCCTCAACCTCCCACACTCAAGCAATCCTTCCAACTCAGCCCCCTAAGTAGCTGGGACTACAGGCATGCACCACCACGGGTCTCACTATGTACTGAGGCTGGGGAAAAAAAAAAGGCCAGGCACGATGGCTCACGCCTGTAATCCCAGCACTTTGGGAGGTCAAGGAGGGCAGATCGCTTGAGTCCAGGAGTTTGAGATCAGCCTGGGCAACATAGCAAGATCCTGTCTCTAGAAATTAAAAAAAAAGAAAAGACAAAACACTTAGCTGGGCGTGGTGGTGCACATGATGGTCCCAGCTACTCAGGAGGCTGAGGTGGGAGGATCACTTGAGCCCAGGAAGCAGAGGTGGCAGAGAGCCCAGGTCACAGCAAGCTGAGATTGTACCAGCCTGCATTCCAGCCTGGGCAACAGAGTGAGACCCTGTCTCAAAAAAATAAATAAATAAAAATAAAATAACAGAATCACAAGACCCCTCATAGACCCAGAGCCTTTAGTACTTATCACAGGAGGGACCTGGGGAAGGGGTCCCAGTGGTCTTCTCCTTAGTCAGCAGTCTTTTTGCTGAGGGATCCTGGGGTTTCCAGTCCCATTACCAGCTTGAGTTACACAGTAGAGACAGGGATCAGGAGTCCTGGGGTCTGCCTCCTGCAGCAGCTGCCCAACCCACCCTCCTCCAGAGAGAGTTGTTATCTGTGGGATTCCATTTCATCAACACAAAGACAGTTTTATTTACCTCGTTATGCAGAATGCAACTCCCACTTTCTGGATGGAATTTGTGCTTTAGGGTTACAGAGCCAAGAGGCCTGACAGAAGAAAAGGAACTCCTCTCTAGTCCTGACCCAGGCTGGGAGCCTCACTCTCAGGGGTAATGCTGAACTTTCCACCCCTTTACAAGCAGGCCGACCACAGCCAGCTCAGCCTTTTTTGATATATATACAATAACAAAACATACTGTTAAGAAGAAAAACAGCCAGGCACGGTGGCTCACGCCTGTAATCCCAGCACTTTGGGAGACCGAGACAGGCAGATCACCTGAGGTCGGCAGTTTAAGACCAGCCTGACCAACAGGAAGAAACCCTGTCTCTACTGAAAATACAAAAATTAGCCAGATGTGGTGGTGCATGCTTGTAATCCCAGCTACTTGGGAGGCTGAGGCAGGAGAATCGCTTGAACCTGGGAGACGGAGGTTGCAATAAGCCAAGATCATGCCTTTGCACTCCAGCCTGGGCAACAAGAACGAAATACTGTCTTAAAAAAAAAGAAAAACAAGGCCTAGTGTGGTGGCTGATGCCTATAAAGTGATGCCTCCCACTTTGGGAGGCCAAGGCGGGTGGATCACGAGGTCAAGAGATCGAGATCATCCTGGTCAACATGGTGAAACCCTGTCTCTACTAAAAATACAAAAAATTAGCTGGGCATGGTGGCGTGTGCCTATAATCCCAGCTACTCAGGAGGCTGAGGCAGGAGAATTGCCTGAACCCAGGAGGCAGAATTTGTGGTGAGCCAAGATAGAGCCATTGCACTCCTGCCTGGGTAACAAGAGCGAAGCTCCATCTCAAAAAAAAAAAAAAGTTAAAATGGTAAATTTTATGTATGTATAGATATAAATATTATTTTATTTATTTATTTTTGAGAGAGAGAGTATTGTTCTGTCACCAGGCTGGACGTGATTTCGGCTCACTGCAACCTCTCCCTCCTGGGTTCAAGTGATTCTCCTGCCTCAGCCTCCCAAGTAGCTGAGACTACAAGCACGCGCCACCATGCCCAGCTAATTATTTTTTTAAATAGAGACGGGATTTTGCCATATTGGCCAGGCTACTTTCGAACTCCTGACCTCCAGTGATGCACCTGCCTCGGTCTCCCAAAGTGCTGAGATTACAGGCATGAGCCACTGTGCCCGACCTTTTTATTTATTTAATTAATTTTAATTTTTTTTTTTTTTTTTTTAAGATTGGGTTTCACCATGATGGCCATGCTGGTCTTGAACTCCTGACCTCAGGTGATCCACCCACCTCAGCCTCCCAAAGTGCTACAATTACAGGCGTGAGCCACCGTACCCGGCCTGGTATTTAATTTATTTTTTATTTTTTTTGAGACTGAGTTTTGCTCGTTACCCAGGCTGGAGTGCAATGGCGCGATCTCGGCTCACCACACCTCCGCCTCCTGGGTTCAGGCAATTCTCCTGCCTCAGCCTCCTGAGTAGCTGGGATTACAGGCACGCGCCACCATGCCCAGCTAATTTTTTGTATTTTTTAGTAGAGACGCAGTTTCACCATGTTGGCCAGGATGGTCTCGATCTCTTGACTTTGTGATCTGCCCACCTCGGCCTTCCAAGGTGCTGGGATTACAGGCCTGAGCCACCGCGCCCAGCCTAAATATTATTTATTTTTATGTTTAGAGACAGATGTCTCCCTATGTTACCCAGGCTGGCCTTGAACTCCTGGGCTCAAGTGACCCCGCTGAGTCAGCCCTCAGAGTAGTTAGGACTACAGGTGCACACCACCGTGCCTAGCTATGTTGTTTATTTTACCACAATGAAAGGACTTATAAAAAAAGAAGGTAGACACCAAAGAGAATACACAGTTGGATACTATGTATACCAAGTACAAAACCAGGAAAATCTAACGTATGGTGACAGAGGTCAGAACAGTGACTACTCTTTGGAGGTTAACGGCTAGAGGAAGACATGAAGGGGGAAGTTCTGGGGTAATTATCTATTTCTTGATCTAAGCGCTGGTTCTGCCAGTGTTTAGGGGTACAAACTACCGAGTTTTTGCTTATGTTTGCCCCGTCTGCATTATTATTATTTTTTTTTTTTGAGACGGAGTTTCGCTCTTGTTACCAGGCTGGAGTGCAATGGCGCGATCTCGGCTCACCACAACCTCCGCCTCCTGGGTTCAGGCAATTCTCCTGCCTCAGCCTCCTGAGTAGCTGGAATTACAGGCACGCGCCACCATGCCCAGCTAATTTTTTGTATTTTTAGTAGAGGCGGGGTTTCACCATGTTGACCAGAATGGTCTCGATCTCTTGACTTCGTGATCTGCCCACCTCGGCCTCCCAAAGTGCTGGGATTACAGGCGTGAGCCACCGCGCCCGGCTCCGTCTGCATTATTTAACCTTCAATCAGTAGTTCTCCAAAACCCCCAAACTCCAGCACTTTTTTTTTTTTGAGAGAAGCCCTCGCTGTCGGGTGGAATGCAGTGGCTGAGATCATAGCTCACTGCAGCCTCGAACTCCTGAGCTTAACTGATTCTCCTGCCTCTGTGTCCCAAAGCGCTAAGATTACAGGAGTAAGGCACCCAGCCTGGCCCCAGTACGTTTTTAGAAAAAAATTTAATTGCAAAAATCTAGATAAGTTCTTGAAAGCTGGACTTTTCCCCCTTTTTGTGCCCTAAGCCTGCGCTGAATTTGTGCCTTTGAAATGCTTTCTCCCCTTCTTTCTCCAGGTCCCACACTAGCTGGGGCCGCACTCTTCAAGCACTGGATGCCGACTAACTCGTCTCCTCATCTGCCTTCCCGACTGGCCCAGAGCTGAGTTCTTACTAATCCCGCTAACCTGGAGTTCGGTGCGCGTTGCAAAGCAGTAACGAATTCAACCAGCCCCGGAGGCAGACAGCAAAGCCGGAAGAACAAAGCTGAAAGGGAAACGCCGTACCGCCTCTACCCAGCAGCGCCAGCGGAGGAAGCTTTCCGCAGACGCAAAGCCACGCCCCTTCCCAAGCACCTCCCCGCTGGCCCCCCCTCAATCTAGACTGCCTAAGGCCCCGCCCACAAGGCGTGGCCCAGCTCCAGGAGGGCCGCAATCCCGCCAACAATGACTCCACCCCTGCTTCCGCTGAGAAACCTGTCCCTTTTATTTAAAGAATACCTTTTACGTCAGCCCGCCTTCCGTATCTTTGCGTCATCAGTGCAAGGCGCGGAGGCGGGACTTCCTGTCCCTGGTTCTAACAGCTTCCGGGAAAAGCCGGAAGCGACCGGACCCTGAACAGAATCGCGGGTTGCCAGCCCTTTCCCCGAACCCTACGGAAAGACGAGTCCAGGGGCCGTCCTGGCGAGGTCAAAACATTTAGTCTGGGCTTTTCAGGTGAGAGCTTCCCCATCTAGGCACAGTGCTGGTCCAATCCACCTTTAATTTCCCATGACTCCCCGCGTCCTCAAGCCCCGCCCCCAGTTCCCCAGCCCCGCCCCGAAGTTTGAGGGGTGTGGACGGTTTGTGACCCCCTTATCCGACGCTACCCCTCACCGGCAGGGAGAGCTGGGCTTGGCACGGCGGCTGGGACCAGGCAGCCCTTCAGTTCGGGTGGGCTTATGGACCCCAGTCCAACGCCGCTGGAATAGGACCATCCAAACGCGGAACTTTCGCCTCAGAAAAAGCAGGGTGCGGGACCCCTCCTCACCGCGCGGTCTGAGTACGGTCAGGGTAGATCATAGGCTGAGGACAGAGTAAAGTCCTCTGAGGCCGGACACCTGGGGTCCTGTCGGGCCCCTCCCCACGAGAGTTTCCTGTGTCTGTGCCAGTCGTTTTCATCGTTCTTCGCCGCAGTTTCCTCTTCTGTAAATCATGGTTAATGACATTAACCTTCTTACCATCAGGGGTTAGTTGTGGGTGTGATAAATAATTGCTACCATTTATTGAGCAATTGCAATTTGCAATGTGCCAGGCACTGTGCTAAGTATTTTGCTTCGTTGATTTCACGTCATCTTCAAAACAACCTCATGAGGTAGGTACTATTTTTAACCCCATTTTACTGATGAGAAAGCTGAGGCTCTGAGAAAGTTGTCCGAGTTGACATAGCTAGTAGAACGCAAGACTGGGGTTATAATTAGTTGTTTTTCTAACTCCAGGGCCGGTATATTAAATAAGGATGTTGATGTGTTCCACAGATACTCTGAGTAACTACTGGGGCATTATATTGGACACTTCAGTACCAAGAGAAATACATACGATCCTTGTCTACCAGGAGTCTAAGAGAAAGGACAGGTAGATAAGTTTAATGAAGTTTTATAGGTGCTGTGAGAATAGTCTGATAATGGATTTGCCCAGGGACAGCTGTGAAAGCAGCAGATTCTCCAAGGGAAATAGTAGGTACTCCAAGCAGCAAGCAGGGATGCTTCCTGTCTTGCTAAGAAACTGCAGCAGCAGAGGCTTCACGGTGAAAGAAGAGAGACTGAGATGTGGATTGCGAGAGCCGTTGGGGAATCTTTTTCAAATCACTTCCACTTGGGGAGTGGTTATTGCAGGAGTGGGCCCATGGTGACCCAGGAGGGTGGTGTTTTGGTGTCTGTCCCACGTTGCTCTCCAGGGGTTGCCAGAAGCTTCAGAGGCGGCACATCATGTCTGCTGCATAGTGTCTGTTCACAGCCCCTACAGAGTTATCCCATTGAGGTTGTCTGACTCTGCTTTTGATGATAGGTCAGTTTTCTTTGGCTCTTGACATCTGGGCAGCCTGGATCTGTGACCAGGAATGAAATAGGCTCAAATGAGACAATCTAGTAGGGGTGGCTCATTCTCAATCTGAAAATATTCCAGGCTTTTGGATCTCTCTGAAGCCACTTTGGAGGCTGCTTAGGAGGCATATTTGCTTGACCAAGTGCTAGAAATCCTAGAGAAACTTAAGCCTCAAAGAAGCAAAGGTTTTTCTCATCAAAAAAAAAAAAAGTGTGAGAGAGGAAGATCACAGAACCTGAAAGCAAGAGTTTCACAATAGAGGCAAAGGGTAGGTCTTCAGCTCTAGGTTGAGGCGCCAGAATTGGGAAGGTTTGTACCCGATTCTACAGAACACTGAACTCCATTTTTTTTTTCAGGGCTGGGTCAGTTAGAACCTAAACAAACTAGAGACCTGGTTGCAACCCTCAGGCTCTGCTGATGCTATCCCCCTTTGTTCCTGCAGCGTGGACCCTGTCAGCAGCCAGGCCATGGAGCTCTCTGATGTCACCCTCATTGAGGGCGTGGGTAATGAGGTGATGGTGGTGGCAGGTGTGGTGGTGCTGATTCTAGCCTTGGTCCTAGCTTGGCTCTCTACCTACGTAGCAGACAGCGGTAGCAACCAGCTACTGGGCGCTATTGTGTCAGCAGGCGACACGTCTGTCCTCCACCTGGGGCATGTGGACCACCTGGTGGCAGGCCAAGGCAACCCTGAGCCAACTGAACTCCCCCATCCATCAGAGGGTAATGACGAGAAGGCTGAAGAGGCTGGCGAAGGTGGGGGAGACTCCACAGGGGAAGCTGGAGCTGGGGGTGGTATTGAGCCCAGCCTTGAGCATCTCCTTGACATCCAAGGCCTGCCCAAAAGACAAGCAGGTGCAGACAGCAGCAGTCCAGAGGCCCCCCTGAGGTCTGAGGATAGGACCTGCCTCCCTCCCAGCCCCGGCCTCATCACTGTGCGGCTCAAATTCCTCAATGATACCGAGGAGCTGGCTGTGGCTAAGCCAGAGGATACTGTGGGTGCCCTGAAGAGGTGAGTGGCCTGGGAAGTGGGAGGCTGCTTGTGCCCATCCCCCAGCCCTTGGTTGCCTCTAAGGAGGCTGGTGCAGACATTGGAGCAGCAGGAAAGTATAAGATCAAGCCCTCCTAAGGGCAGGTAGATACTTTCTTAGAAATACACTCTTCAGGCCAGGTGCGGGGGCTCATGCCTGTAATCCCAGCCTTTTGGGAGGCCGAGGCGGGTGGATCACCTGAGGTTGGGAGTTTGAGACCAGCCTCATCAACATGGAGAAACCCCATCTCTACTAAAAATACAAAATGAGCCAGGCTCGGTGGCGTATGTCTGTAATCCCAGCTACTTGGAAGGCTGAGGCAGGAGAATCGCTTGAATCCGGGAAGCGTTGTGTGAGCCTTTGCACTTTAACCTGGGTGACAAGAGTGAAACTCTGTCTCAAAAAAAGAAATACACCCTTCATTAGTTAAGGATAAAGATGAGGGGGGAAAAATCCACCCTCCAATTTTTCCCCACTCCCTTGCTTTGTTATTTCAGGCCTGTTTGCTTTCTCATTCCTCACCCTCTGTCTTTCCTTCCATGTCTTTCATCCTTACAGCAAATACTTCCCTGGACAAGAAAGCCAGATGAAACTGATCTACCAGGGCCGCCTGCTACAGGACCCAGCCCGTACACTGCGTTCTTTGAACATTACCGACAACTGTGTGATTCACTGCCACCGTTCACCCCCAGGGTCAGCTGTTGCAGGCCCCTCAGCTTCCTTGGCCTCCTCGGCCACTGAGCCACCCAGCCTCGGTGTCAATGTGGGCAGCCTCATGGTGCCTGTGTTTGTGGTGCTGTTGGGTGTGGTCTGGTACTTCCGAATCAATTACCGCCAGTTCTTCACAGCACCTGCCACTGTCTCCCTGGTGGGAGTCACGGTCTTCTTCAGCTTCCTAGTATTTGGGATGTATGGACGATAAGGACGTAGGGAGAAAATGAAAGGCATGGTCTTCCTCCTTTATGGCCTCCCCCTTTTCTGGCCAGAGCTGGGCCCAAGGGCCTGGGAGGGAGGGGTGGAAAGGATGCGATGGAAATCCCCTCCAGAGGACACAGGAGGCAGGTACAGGGCCTCCTCCTCTTGTCCATGGGAGTACAGACATCCCCTCTGTGCAAGCACAACTCAGGTAGAAATGAGGATGTCATCTTCTCACTTTTAGGGTCCTCCTGAAGAAGTTCAGGGCTGATGGCCAAGTTCAGTGGGGAGCCTGGGCTCTGAGGATTCCCTCCCACCTGTGGTCCTAGCTCTTCCCAATGTCCTGCATGTCTGCCCCCCAGCACCCGGGCTGCCTGCCAGGGCAGCTCAGCATGGCCCCGGCATACCACTGTAGGGAGCCTGGAGTATCCTTCCATTTCTCAGCCAAGTATCAGTCTTTCGAGACTGAAGTCACACAGGCGGGAATGTAGATCCTGCACGCCTTCTCTATGGGCACCTGGCTGCTTTCACTTTCTCCCTCTATCCCTTAGCAGGAATAGGGTGTCCTCCCTTCTTTCAAAGCACTTTGCCTGCATTTTGTTTTCTTTTTAGAGTCCTTCATAGAGCTCAGTCAGGAAGGGGATGGGGCACCAAGCCAAGCCCCCAGCATTGGGAGCAGCCAGGCCACAGCTGCTGCTCCCATAGGCCTCGGGCTGCAAGCAGGAGACAGCACTGGCCCTTGGCCAGCGTCCTACCCTGCCTGACTCCAAGGATTAGCTCTGAGTATGGATCACTGGCCCTTAGACTCTTACTTCTGGGGCTGTTGGATGGAGGGTCAGTGTCTGACTGAATAAAGTTCCATTTTGTGATGGTGGAGCCTCTTTCAGTAGGAGAATGGCTTTGCACTGCCCCCCAGCAACATGGTAATGACGGTAGGTAGGCCAGGCTACCAACGGGAGATGCAGTTTATTTACACCAGCAGCCATGGGGGCAGAGGGAATACACAGCGTTTACAAAGTTAGCTACCTGTACAGAATGGATTACATATGCAAAAATAAAAATCTCAAGACCACAGGACAGCGTGAGCCCCACCCCCCTCCCCCAATGACCCCAGCATGCGGTAATGCCAGGCGGGTGGCCCCTGGGCATGCGGGGGGGAGTGATGCATGGAAGGAAAAGCCACCGGCCATGGAAATTAGTACAGAACCCCCCCAACACACACTCAGACACAATAGGATACAGACACCTAGCCGGGGTGGGAAGAATGGGAATTGAAACCCACACAGCCTGCTGTTAAGAGGGAGGGGAGTGGGGAGCTCCTAGCCCCTGTTTAACTACATGGTAGGGGGGCACTCTCTCCCCAGAAGGAAAAGGGTTTGTTCCCTCAGGGTCCCTGCTGGACCAAGCCCATCTCTTACCCAGCCTGGGCAGGGGGCTCTGCCCTGAGGGCGGGCCAAGGAACAATGGGGAAGTTTATATGGACAAACCAGTTCCCAAACTACTTCCCACTCCTCCCTCCTCCAACCAGAAGGGGGAAAAAGGGAGAGGCCACAGAGCATAGAGTATATTAGGGCCTGAGCTGCAGCTGCCTCTCAGAAGGGAGAATGGCCCACAGCCTTCCTCCCTTCACCTTCAGCCCACTCCCTAGACTGCATCTGGAAGTGGCTAGAGGCCTGCTGAGATCCTCTTCTCCCTCCAGCCTCCCCTCAGAGGGAGAGGGAGAAGGCTACAGTGGGCCAAAAACAGAGGAGCCCTGGCCCCGGGATTTATTCTAACTCCCACCAAATTCTGTTTGGCTTTTTAAAAAATAATCACAATTTGTGGGTTAAAAACCAATTTGCAACCAGGCATCAGCCACAATCAGAACCACCCCAGGGGGAGAGCGGGGTTCCAGACAGGGCACTGCAGCCCCATCTCTGTTGTTCCCTTAACCCTCTACGGTCCCTAACCCAATCAGTCCAACCAGTCCTGGGTACCAGCTACCCAAATGTGGGATGGCCCCTCTTGGGAAGAGGGCAGGGAACATGCCCAGCAAGTGCCAGAGAAGGTGGCTCAAGGTCACCTCCACTCCTGTCAGTCAGCTCTGCTCTCAGCCCAGGTCGCAGTCCTCCAGCTCGGCTCCTGGGAGTGGTGGTGCCCGCATGGAGGGGGGACAGTACATCTCTTCTGGATGTAGACCAGGCAGGTGGGCACACTGGCATGACAGTCCCACAGAGGCAATAACACCCCTTCCCCTCCACTGACAACCCAGAGCACAGAGGCCACCCTCTCTTCCCACCTGACTCCTAGCAAAGGGGGAGAGGCACGAGATTAGGATTTTCCTCAGAGCCCCAAACCACAAGTACAGAATAAATAACTTAAAAGCGCTAAGGAAGGGAAAAAGGGCAGGCTTTGGAGGCAGGAGCGCTGAGAGGAACTGAAGCCGGTCAAGGTGAAGGGGGGTGGAAGCAGCAGTTGGGAACCTGGGCTGCCCCAGTAGGGCAATGGGGCAGGGTGGGCAGGAGGAACATGGGGCCACCCCAGGAGGGTGAGGCTGGGTCCCTTCCTGGGGCAGGGAATGAGGTAAGAAAACATTTCAAATAAAGCAGCACCGTTCCCTCTCACCTTGGGGCCCCACTCCTCACCAGCCCTGGGTCAGGGAGGAGAGGCAGGGGGAGGAATTCTGACATATCTCCCTCTTCCTACCCTCCTTTTCCCATTCCTTGAAGCTGTAGAGGCTGGAGGCCCTTTCCTGGCACCCAACAATAAAAGGACAGCTCCTGCTGCCAAGGAGGCCCATGGGGACTGAGGGGAAAGGGCTGCCCCTCTGAGGAGCAGGGAAGGTGGCGGCAGTTCTGGACACCCACCTCAGCAGACAGCACTCTGTGCCTGCCTACCCCTGGGACTGGGGGCATTTGATAGGATTTTGCACACAGACAGCACATGCCCAGCCGTACCCCTCAGCTCCAAGCACCGGACCCATTCACATTGCTGAGGGCGGCCGGAGCAGGCCCCCTCCAGGCTCAGCTTCCAACCCACAGCCTCCCGGGTCACCACACTGCCCCTCAGCAGGGCTTAGTCCAGTTCCTGGGGTGGGGGGCAGGCAGTGCCCTGGCACAGTGCCCAGGTGAGGCCCCTGGCCTAGCTGGACATCCAGTAACTCACAGAATAAATAGGAAAACTGCCTCCCCACCAAACTTATGTCCAAGGCATAATATGTCCAGGTCTGAGTCCTGCACGCCGAGGAGTTGTGCTCCATTGCAGAGGACCTTGACACCCCCCAGGGGCGCATAATTGGATCCTCTGCCTGCCTGGCCCACCAAGCTTCCCAAGCTCCAACCCCCAGCAGCCGTCCATTTGCCAGGCTATGCCACCTGGGTGGGGGTCAGGAGAGAGGGCTCTGCTCAGCCAAAGGCTATCCCTTGCACCCAAGTCAGTTGATGTCATCATAGATGCTGGGCGTTGGGGGTGCCGGTGGCTTTGGCTTCTTCTTTTTGTTGGAGCCCAGGCTGGAGGCAGTCCCTACCAGGCTCAGATGGGATTTCTTTTTCTTGGTTTTCCGTGACTCGGAGCTGTTGGTACCTGTAGAGAAAGAGACACAAGGAATGAGGGTAGGGTTGTGGCAGGAGAGGAGGCACCCCCATGGCTTTGGCCAGAGAGCCCCTGGGGCCCAACTGGGTCACGTACCTAGACCCCATCCCTGATTTTCACTCGTCTTGGAGGAGCCTGAATCAGAGGGTGAGAGGTCAGAGGAGCCGTCCCACTGAAGCCGGCTGATCAGGGCCTGGCTGTCAGTCATGTCAAAGCTGTCATTATCCAGGGAGCTCTCCACCTCCGGAAGGACGCTGGGAAGGGGATGAGCCAAAGAAAGCCTTTAGAGATAGCTATCATCACCCTAACTGGTCACAACCCACCACCCTGCCTGTAGGGCCACTTACGCCGAGGGCCCGAGGAAATAAATCCGCACGGTTCGCCTCTGCTCATCTGTGTGCTGTGGACAGCGCAGGGACCTGGTGGGGAGGCAAGGTAAGGAGGGGTATGAAGAACTCTGGTAAAGCCCCTCCCCTAGGCAAGGTGGGAGCCAGGGGCACAGACAGGGAAGGGATGAACACAGATTCGTCCCCAGATTGTGGGCGAAAGCCTGACCCTAAGAAGAGGGAAGGGAAGGGCAGGAGCCCCATTGCTCAAGTCCAGCGGTACTCCCGACCCATGCCCATGGTGAGTGCGCAGGAGGCCCCCGGCCCCCTTTCTAGGTTCTGTGCTCACCTTGTGCACATCTTCTTGGTGTGTTCAGAAATCACCCCACATTGCTGGAAGAGGAATATAAGCTGAAAGGAGGGATGGAGGGAACCTACTCTAGACGCTAGATGTTCTCTTCTCTATGAATGCTAGATAGCATAAACAGAGATGGCCCCAAAGTGTCCAGAGCAGACAGTCCCAGGTCACTATGGGCCAGGAAACCTAATTCCAGAGAGAGAATGACATGGCCCTGGACTGCTATGTCACCAGCTTCCTCCAGGGCCTTGACCACCGCCTATGGCTCCAGCCCACTCCCAAGGGCCTCCTCCCTTCGCAGGTCCCCCCTCACCGTAGTCAGCAGGCTTCGAAGCTCCTCTGGCCCCAGGGTCTCATAGCTGATCCCAGTTGAATTGTTATACTGCCGGAGAACCAGAGGTACAGGTTAGAGACCAGGCAGAGAAAAGAGAGGCACAGGGGTGAGAGTGAGAATCAGTCCCTCTGATCCCTTTCTAAGTGAGAGGCTTTAGGACAACTCTACCATTTTCCAAGTGATTTCTCATCCCACCTACCAAGGGATAAGGGGGTGGGACTCAGAAAAAAACATAAATATACAAGACCCAAAAACTCATCAGCCTCTGGCTGTGAGCATTCTGATCACTACTTGTCCAAATCCCCACCACCTAGAAACCAGGACAATGAGAGAGAGTGTGTGAGGGGTGACCCATATGTACCTTAAAAGGATCCGAATTGCTAAGTTCCCCTGAAGAAGAAAAAAGAAGGGGAAGGGTGTTTGATGCAGAGGTACAGACAGAGAACCCTGAAAATAACCAGAGAGGAAGTGGGGGTGACAGAAGGATCACAGGCCCTCCCTCAATACCCCAACCCCCAGGCCCCACCTCCACCCCCTGGCAATGAGTCCCAGAAGATAAAGCTAGAAGCATTCCCATTGCTCCAGCCCCACTTACCATTTTTGTGTTTTAAAGACTTGGATCTTCGAGGGGAATTGGGGTTCTGGAATGGGAGATACCATAGCTTTGGGGAAAGGGTAACGATAAGGGGGAGCCGAGAACCCAGGAAAGGAAAAAAGATTTGACAAAGCAGCATCCTCAAATTCCTACTCTTCCTCCCCAGTAGGCCTGTCTACCCATATTCTCTCCCCCATCTCCCATTCCCCGCCCACCACAGACACCCTCAACCCCCCAATGACCTCAGCCTTGAGTCAGGACACTCGAGGACTCCCTGCCCAAAGGGGAGGGTATCTGTCCTTTGCCCATATTTCCTCAGTGCCTGCCCCAGCTCTCACCTTGTCTGATTTCCTCTTCTTGGCTGGGGAACAAAAGGATAAAGAGCAGGGTTTCTGTTAAATTCTCAATCCAAGGGCATCTCAAGACCACACAGCTATACTCTCCCTTCATCATTCAAGGCAACAACTCGTGACCACTATATATCCAATTCCTGCTTCCCACCTCATCCCAATGCCCCCCAAGTTTCCCCAGGCTCCCAAGCACCTTTCTTCTCCGAGCCATAAGACCAGTCGTTGTCATTGATGTCATCATTATCCTCTTGGTCACTCTCAGACTTGTTCATATTGTTGCTATTGGCAATGCTGCCAACAGGAGGGAAAAGAAAGGGTGAAGGCAGTCACCCCCCT